AAAAAAGTTATTCGTGATGGAATTCAAGCGTGATAGTGTGATTTCTTTATATTTGGCTGGAAAACCACAAGTGGCTATCGTTAGAGCACTCCAGCATTGAAATGGGAATAAATCTTTTGTGTCTCGTACCATTGCTCGTTAGGAAGTGGACGGAAGAAAACTGCAACATCTACCAAAATGGTTCGAAAAGTAAAGAGGCGATTCGATCGAAACCCGCGTCGTAGTGGCCGAAAAATAGGTCATGAGCTGAACATATCGCAATATTCCATTCGGCAAATATTGAAAAATGAGCTTGGGGTAAAGCCATTGAAATTCCAAAAAGTGCAAGAACTTACACCGCAACAGAAAGAAAATAGACTCAAAAGAACTAAAGAGTTGCTTCGCTTGGACGAAAGTTGTGAAATGTCGAATTTGGTTTTTTCCGATGAGAAAACATTCGGTGTAAATAAACAAAATGATCGTGTTTACTTGCTAAAGAGGTCAGCTGAAAATGTGCACCTTCGGTTGGTCACCAGAAAGCAAGGTTGGCACTAAAAAATACCAAAGGGTCGAACACCTCAAACCAGCGCTTCGCCTGGAATGGGCGAAAATACCGCAGAGCAACATGCGGGCAGCGTGTGACGGTTTCATTGGCCGTTGGAAGGCCATAGTTCGTGCCAAAGGTGACCAATTCGAACAAATCTAAACTTATTCTAAAATTTGATGCTATTTCCGAAATTTTTTGTTTTCATTCAATAAAATTTAAAAAATTCAAAAATTATAGCGTTTAACTTTGTTGCAGTTTTTTTATATCACCCTGTATATGGTCCATTACAATGTATCTTAAAAAAATCTGGTGAATAACATAGCTAAAATCATCAAAATACCGAATATAGGGAGGCACAGTTATATCGGGGCTATACGAAGACCTGGACCTGCATGGACAATTTTCTTTCACAGGCTGTAGTACCTATTATGAACTTCAAGTACGAAATTTCAAACAATTTCGGTGGATATTGTACATAAAATCGTCAAAATACCGAATATAGGGAGGTACAGATATATGGAGCCTATACGAAGTCCTGAACCTGCATGGATAATTTTCTGTCATAGACTGTAGTTCACATTACGAACTCTAAATATGAAATTTGAAACAATTCTAAATAAAATGTCGCTAAAATCATCTTGGCTTTCTGTGACCTTTTCTAAAATATGTGTGGCCTTTTTATCCAAAAGTCCAGTAAAAATGAGCAAAATTATGGAGAAATGTTGGCAGTGCATATTTGAACTTTTAGTCGATTATTGTTATTTTGATCACTATTCTCTTAGATTTTACAATAGACAAAATTTTTTCCTACGATTATACAAGCATTGAAATAGTAGCCTTAAATATGGCCACTTGGTTTTTTGGGATTTTGAGATTTGCGTCATATTTTTAAGAAAATTGTGTTAAATTTGGTATTTATGGTTCTTAATACACGTCTAAGACTCTACCAGAAAACAATAAAACAATTCGGAGAGGTAAGGGCAGCCACCACACCCCCCTCCCCCTCCTATGTACACCCCTGACTCACAAGTAACAATTAACGGATATGCGTCGATTGAACCCAATACAGCCCAATCTATCGAACTCTCAACGTGAGCAACACAGTCCCAGATGCATACATAACGGCTGCAGGAAAAATTGTGATTTGTGGCAGAAAATAAATAAAACAATTTCACCAATAAAACAACATTTCAACCCCAGCGGCCTTTGAAAACGACATTTTATTACAATGTTGCGAGCACCTGTTGTAATGTTCGAAACATAAAAAAACGAATGGTTGATTCCATAAAATTTTACCAATGACATTAATGAGTCACGTATCTCGTTCCTCAACGACATTGCATAGCTGGTGCATTTCAAACTTTCAATTTCTTTCGATTATTTAAAATACTCAAATAAAAACATTTTCACAAAATTTAAACACTCCATAAAATTTATAACCAAAAAAAATTCATTGATAATCCAATCACATACGACGAACTTGTGCCACTTTCGTGAGAGCTAAAAGAAGAAATCCACTGTCGAGTGAAGATTCAAATCCAGCGTTTTGAAGACTGTGGACATTTTGGGGAAGAGAGAGAGAGAGGGAGGGAGGGAGGGAGGTAGAAAAAACAAAAAAGAACTTGCAAACGCACATATAGCACGTTCCAATGCCCTGTTTCTCTTTAGCTTAGGTCAGGTAGGGCTTTCCACAATGGTGGTCTTGGTCATCCCATCAATTGGAGCCCTGGTCGTTTGGGTCAACGCCATTCCGTATTTCAGCCGATTGGAGAGGGGAAGAAACGCAATTTCAAAACCTCAAGTACGAATAAATGTCGAATCCAATGAAAGTGAAACCATTTGAGAAACAAATGAGAAATTATGTAAATGAGAACTTTCATTTTTTTGTCGTGCGACGCGCTTTGCGCTTGCGTGGTTTGCGGTTGGTTTTTACCAATGTTTTTGTTGTTGTTCTGTTTTGTTTTTTCGGCTACAAGCGAAAGACATTTTTGGAATATGGAATGCGGGATGGATGGATAGATGACCGGCTGGATGAATGGCATTGTTGTGACTAAGCATACTGTTGTTGTTGTCGTTTGCTATTGTTATAGTTTCTAGCTGAGGTAACTGCTTCAGCTTCTGCTATTGCTGCTGCGACTTTTGTTATTTATAATGGCAAATAAGCTAGATTTGATTCGATTGATAAACGAATCGAAAACACTTGATTTGAATTTTTTGTTATTTTTATTTCGTTTGTTGACTCAGGTTTACAGCAAATCTGTGAAGAAATAAGCCGATTGCAGAAAGACAAAATGACAAAAAAACTAATGACGATAATCCATTCGAACTGCAGATGATTTCCTTAAATGAAAACATATTTTTAAATAATCATGAAATGAGTAGTTTTATTTGTTAATGAGTACTTATGATCGTGAAAATAGGACGTCTAGTTATCGAAAATATTATATATTTTTTAAAATAACAAAAAAAAAGAAGCCGGGCCGAACTTTTAATACCCTCCACCATTTGGAAGGAACTTGAAAAATGTCAAAAAAAAAATCCGATAACTACCACTTAATTGAAAATAGTTATTTGGGGGTTTACGAAAACCTGAACCTGCATACGAAAATTTTGTCATAGGCTGCAGTATCCATTACGAACTTTAAATACGAAATTTCTTACAATTCCGGTGAATAATGTCGCAAAAATCACGAAAATACCGAGTATCGTGGACCTACATACGAAATTTTTTGCCATAGGTTGTAGTACCCATTAAGATTTTCCAATACGAAATTTGAAATAATTCCGGTAAAAAATATCGCTAAAATCATGAAAATATCGAATATCAGGAGGTACCGTTATATGGGGGCTATATGGAGACGAGGACCTGCATACAAAAATTTTTATCATAGCATGTAGTACACATTAAGATCTTCCAATATGAAATTTGTTACGATTCCGGTGAATAATGTTGCTGAAATCATCAAAATACCGATTATCGGGAGGTACTGTTATATGGGGGCTATACCAAGACGTAGACCTGCATACAAAAATGTTTGTCATAGGCTGTATTACCCATTACGAATACGAAATTTGAAATATTTCCGGTAAATAATATCGCTAAAATCATAAAAATACCGAATATCGGTAGGTACCGTTACATGGGGGCTATATGGATACGTGGACCTGCATACAAATATTTTTGTCATAGCCTGTAGTACCAATTAAGATCTTCCAATACGAAATTTGAAATGATTCCGGTGAATAATGTCGCAAAAATAATGAAAATAGCGAGTATCGGGAGGTAGCGTTTTATGGGGCTATATGGAGACGTGGACCTGCATACGAATTTTTTTTGCCATAGCCTGTAGTACCCGTTACAAATTTCAAATACGAAATTTAAAATTATTCCGGTAAATAATGTCACTAAAATCATGCAAATACCGAATATAGAGAGGTACCGTTATATGGGGCTATACGAAAACGTGGTTCGACATGGCCCATTTACGAACTTAAACTGCCTACTGGTAACTGCATGTATGCAAAATTTTAGCCTTCTATCTCAATTCATTCGAAAGATAGAGTGATTACAACAGACAGACGGGCATCGCTGGATCGTCTTAGAATTTTACGCTGATCCAGATTATTTATACACTTTATAGGGTCTATTATAAATATTTCGAGGAGTTACAAGCGGAATGACAAACTTAAAAAACGACTCACCACGTTTAACGTGAACACACTTTAAATACTGACTCTTTCAAAGGGTATAGTCAACCCAACCCTACGGTCCCAATGAAGCTGCCGACTTACAAGCAGATATGATATATGAATGAATGTCTGTAGAAATATTTGTATTTACTGAAAAAAAAAAACTTTTACTTGTTCTAATAACACATTTAGACGTCCGACGTTGTTCGAAAAAAATACTGAACCAGTGACCCAGTTTCTATTTTCACTTCTGAAAAAGTGTTAATTATTGAATTTGAGCCATCTTCGTGCCGAACACATTGATGATCGATGATGATGATGGCACTGTGCTTCAAAACAGTTTAACATTCTCTTTTTGGATAATTGTGGAATTTAATTTGAAAGAAAGAAAATGTGCGGGTACATTATTGGTTTGGGTTAGCCTTAAGAAAAAAAAAAAATAAAATAATAAATAAATACCGAGACATTCAAGGTTAATAATTCTAATTATTGAGTAAATAGATTGTATAAATGTTGCATTTGATCCAGAATGAGATACTGTTTCAAAATGTATATGATTTTGCTTTGGCCTATTAAATAACAACAGTTCGGACCTGTGTATGTATGTATGTTTGATGCGAAAATTTTTATTTAAATCTGAAATACATATTTGGAATGGTGCTTTTCTTTCTTATTCACATTCGTATCGACATACGGAAAAAAACTCCCTTAGAACTAGGTTAAAAATGTTACAACTGCAAATGAATTTCAAAATCGTCTTTTTTTGTTGCTCTTTCAATTACAGAAGGCCGTAAACTCTTCGGTGGCTATCGCATTACACCGAAACAGTGCCGGGCAACTAAAACTCTGCCCAGCTCCGATCCCAGGGCCAGCGGACCAACGATATGTATGTTCAACCACGAGTGTGCCCAGCGCAATGGCGAAGTGGTGGGAGCGTGTATGGATGGGTTCCTTTTCGGTGCCTGCTGTCAAGTACCGAAGACACAAAAGCCCGAAAGTACGCTCATCAATGATGCGCAGAACGCCTACTTCCAGCAGTATCAACAGAATAAGCTGCAGCAACAGGAAACCGAAACAAACAAAATCGTTTCCCAGGCCTATGAAAACTTTGCCGAAAACTCCGCCCATTCACAGGAGAATGCCTATGGCTCGGCCAATGTTAATGGCGAATATCAAAACAATAACGACCAACAATTGCTACAGGACACCTTGGAACTGACAAGCAGTACAGCCAATGCCGATACGTCCACGGAAAATTCCCAAGCAAGTTCCAGTACCGAAGCCGACTACAGTGGCCAGTCAAGTACCGAGAATCAAAGTGATTCATCGCAGGAACCACCCACGAACGAACCCTCGAAAATGTCCTCATCAGCAAGTCCTCAGGCCCCACAAAACGACGATTTTGTAATGGAAGCCCTAAACACCATACCGCCGGAGAATGAAGAGGACAACCAACAGTTATCGTTCACCACAGAAATACCTACGAAAATTGTAAACAGATTAACCGAACACGTGAGCTCGGAGTCCGAGTCGTTTGAGGAGAGCCACGCAAGCCCGGCCACAGAGTCATCTCAGACTGTAGAACATGTATCCGTAAATGGAAATACCCAAACACATCACAAGGATGCCCTTTATAACTCAGGAACCTTCAGCCACAGTGATATAACTCATCCCGGAGCCGATGCAGTTCTAGTCGACAATGATTTGCAATTCTCCACCGGCTATGGTCCTCAGCCAGTCTTCGTACCGGCCCCTGATGCCAGCGAAAAGAAACCAAGTGCCAGCAACTCATACGACACCACCACAACTACATCGTCGTCTATCACAACGCATGTCGACTCCATTGAGACCATCATTCAACAGTTGAACAACAGCAGTCATGGCCCCACATACAACGTCATTAGTCCGCAATCCTCCACATTTGCCTATGAAATCGTCAATGCCACAAATGCTCCAGCACTGGACTACAATCAGGAACAGACTACGCTGTACCAGGGCGAAGCTGAGGCTGAGCACAACGAAAAGCAAACGGCCACCCCGCTGTATGGCTCGTCGACCTCCGAAGATTCTACGACCAAAACGACCACCACTACCAATGGCCACTATGCGGACGAATTGACTTTGGAAGACCACACCATGCCGGAGACTAACTACAATGACCAGCTGGCTTCCAATCACCACACCTCTGACTTCAACAAAATGCCCGCCATGGGCATTGCCTATCCCGTCGATATGTCGCACATGGAAGAAGACAACTTGAGTGACCATAGAATCGCTGCAAGCAATTCATACTCAACACAGCAGCAGCCACAACAGCAACAGCAAGAATATCAAGGCCAAATCATTACCAAAAAACCCCATCCGGTGGCTACTTATATTGGAGTCGTGACATCTCAAACTTATGGACAACCCCAGCCGCAGGTACCGCACGAAGTTATCGTCTCTTCGCACACCACCAAGGTGGAAGGAAACATTGATTCCTCCGTGGAATACAAGCCGATTACCATGACCACAAACAAACTTACCACAGCAATGTATCAATCGAGCACCACGACTTTGAAACCGGCCAAAACCCGTCCCAATTTAGTGACCAAGAGACCCTCAAACAAGAAACCAACTACCAAGGCGCCCATCAATAGAATAGCCGCCAGCACCACCAGCTCCTATCTGACAACGCCTGTCGAGACAAAGGCCCCAGAGCCCCAATATCAGCAGCCAAGCAACCAAAATTACGGTCCACCATCCAACAACTACTACCAGGATAAACAGCCTGCAGTCACAACACAGAAGCCCATAAGAAAACCAGTCGAAGCCAAACCACAAAACAATCAGAACTATAATCCTTCATCCATCGCCAACACCAACAACAACAAAAATAGCTACTATCAAGAAAACACCTACACCGCAGAATCGTCACCTAAGCCTATTGTCACCCGTAAGCCGACAAAGAAACACACCTCCAAGCCGGTCTCCACAAGCTATGTGACAGGACCAACGTCACCGCGACCCACCTCCACATTGGACTTTGGCTACGATGGCCAACATCAAGTCATTGCAACAGACGACAAACTGGACTCATTTGTTCACAGCACGGCCGAGAGCTTGGCCTCTGCTGCTGCTGCCAACACTCAGGAATCGCCACTGTACGACAATTCTGTTGCCGATAGTCCTGTGCCCATCCTCAGACCTCAACCTCAATACAATACGCACAAGAAACCCGCCTTCGTTCAAAAACCAATAACACAGAGACCCCCTTCGCCAACTGTGCTCATAACACCCAAGCCCAGCAAGCTGAACACTGTGGCCAGCAGCCATTATCCTGTCTTCCAATATACCACTCCGACTACACCATTAGCCGATTATTCCAGCACATCGTATCTCAGCAATCATCAGGTCACGAGACAACCTGGAGCCGTAGAAAATGCTGGAGCTGGTGCAGAGTATGTGGGCCTTACAACGGTCAACTCGAACGACTTTGATGATCCCGGCTATTACGGCACACCCGACCACGCCCAACCCCCTCAGCCCTTGTCAAGCGTTTTCATACAATCATCCACCGAAAATGTCTATCCCCCGCCCTCAGATGACAAGCCCGCCTTCCCTGGCTATTATGGACCAACGCCCACATACCCTGCTTTCCCCGTCCCCGGGGAGAAGGTGGGTGCCGCAATTGAGGAAGAGACATATACATCGCCCAATGACTTTGTCAACTTCCCACCTGTCAGAAATCCCAACCTCAATATGTCGGCTGCATCCAGTGCTGTGACCAGCGACTTGGAACTTTCGACGCCAGCCTTTGTCGAAGACACAATTCTGAAGAACAAAATGAACACCTTGGTCCACAAAATCGTCGAGTCGCTGCAAGGCAACTTTGAGGCTCTGGCAGATATAATTGACGAGAGCAACAACACAGCGCCCGTCCTCACCTACCAAGCGTCGTCCCCAACAGCGTCAACGGTTACCAAGAAACCAGCCACGCGTAAACCCGTTAAAGCAACCACCGTTAAGACGAAAGTCACAACCAAGAAGCCAGCAACTACCAAGGCTCCCGTTAAGAAGACGGCAACCACAAGGAAACCCGAGGTAACCACGAAAAAGCCTGTGGTAAGGCGTACCACTACCACCACCCGCAAGCCCACAACAAGGAAGCCGGTGCGCAAGGCGACTACCACTACCAAGGCACCGCTGGAGGATGAAATCGTCGACGAGGAAGATGAGGAAGACGTCAATCCCAGCGACAACGAAATACCCGAGGAAGATGATGCCCAGTCGGGACCAGGTGTCGGAGGTCGTAAAATACGTAAGTCTGCAATGAAATAGAAAACAAACCATATTTATTATTGAACAAGATGGACAGATCCGAACAATAGAAATTTCTTTTCTTCTTAATTCATTACTCACTCATTGTCCTCATTCCTCACTCTGGCAAAATGTACCCAAATGCGTACAGTACGTCTATTGAGCCACCTGGTAGCAATTCTGTGAAAACCCCATCCTCCGACCCACAACCTCTTCCTTCTCCTTCCCCTGTTTCCATACTCAAATACTAACAATTACTAATCTGAATTCGTTCTAATCGCCACACGCACACAAAGCACATACACGCACACACACTTTTCCAACCATCCCCGCACACACCCACCCGCACACCTACACACGCACTTAATTTAAAATCACATCTTGGTTCTTACTATACTTTCCCTTTCTCCTAAAACCTAAAACATTTCACTCCACATCAACAGAATGCGGAGTCCGACCACACATCAAGTCCGGCAGAATTGTCGGTGGTAAGGGCGCCACATTCGGAGCTTATCCCTGGCAAGTTCTGGTCAGAGAATCGACCTGGCTGGGGCTATTCACCAAAAACAAGTGTGGTGGAGTCCTCATTACCAATCGTTATGTAATAACAGCCGCCCATTGCCAACCCGGGTAAGTCGATAGTTTGCATTAGAGGCTCCGTTGCCCACATATTCTGACCTTCCATCTGCAGTTTCTTAGCTTCCTTAGTTGCGGTCATGGGAGAATTCGACATCTCTGGAGACTTGGAGAGCAAGCGAGCCGTCACGAAAAATGTCAAGCGAGTAATAGTTCACCGTCAGTACGATCCAGCCACATTTGAGAATGACATCGCCCTGTTGGAACTGGAGAGTCCGGTGCAATTCGATACCCATATAGGTAATTTGGAAGCAGTTCTTTCTATGGCCCGACAGATCAAATAATTATTTCCCCTAACAAATTACAGTGCCAATTTGTATGCCTCCCGATAATGCTGATTTCACCGGTCGCATGGCCACCGTAACGGGTTGGGGTCGCTTGAAATATGGCGGTGGTGTACCCTCAGTTCTGCAGGAAGTTCAAGTAAGTACATTTTGTATGTTTCAGGGCCCTACCAAACTCATTGCGTATGCGTACGAATTTACCCACGCAAAATTTAAGTGCGTCCATAATACCATGTTAAATTCGACGTACGTACGTAAAAAGGAACGAAGGGTATATATTGTTTCAAACAAAAAGCCTACTGTGTGGTACTTTTGGGTTTCAAACATGGCACAACATATTTCAAATGACTAACTCCACAACTACGTAAAAGAAAACATTGCAAAACAAGAGTAAAGTGTTTCAATATTCGAGTTAAATCTTTGGAAACAGAAAATTTCAGTGAAAATGGCTACGCGGAAAAGAGGACCTATACATCTAGTATTTTGCAAGGGGAATCCGAAATGCTATATTACAGCCATTTCGGTCCTCAAATAATATTAAAACATTGCCGTTACATGCTCCCCACTGATATAAATGTAGCTTTTTACACTGTACTGAATCTACTAATATGCTTATTGTGTCTTCCAGGTACCCGTTATAGAGAACAGCGTGTGTCAAGAAATGTTTAATACAGGCGGACATAATAAGAAAATTCTGAACTCGTTCCTGTGCGCTGGCTATGCCACCGGCTTAAAGGATTCATGTGAAGTAAGCAATCAAATCGAATCGACGATACATTGAAATTATAATCGGGAATTCCTTCTAATCTTTCAGGGTGACAGTGGCGGTCCATTGGTATTGCAACGTCCCGATGGCCGTTATGAATTGGCCGGCACGGTTTCGCATGGCATTAAATGTGCTGCACCCTATCTTCCCGGTGTCTATATGCGCACCACATTCTACAAACCCTGGTTGAGAAGTATAACTGGAGTGAAATAAGAGTTTGAACGCAAATCCAAAGCCCTATTTCCGCATCCTTCCCTCTTCGCACACACAAAGCATCGCATCATCCTGTCCATATGCAAAATCCAACAACGAAAACAAAACAACGATTACTTTTTAAGGTGTTTGGTTTGCAATGAATGAGGAATTCATTGATCAATAAATGGGGCCTCTGTGTAACCTGAAAGGCATCTCCGTACTCGTCGTATTTAGTATATAAGTAGTCCACATTTATTTGTGTGCAAATCTGAAGCAGTTTGCATAGTGCATGTATTTATTTATTTATTTATTATTATTTAATTAACTTATTTATTTATACTTTTATTTATTAAATTTGTCTATTTATTTTCGAACGGACAACCAGACTGACGACGCCGACAGCAGTTTATTTATTACATTAGTTAAATTATTGTTTATAGCATAGTTAATTTATTTTAGTTGATTCAATAAGGCATTTATCATTACATCCCCATGTGATATATAATCTCGTATGTGTTTAGCAGAATTTGGAGATCAACAAAAACATCAAATCACGACAGCATACGACCTATATGTCGCACATTTTATCATTACATATGATAATATTATGAAATATGAAAGAAACCCCATTTAGAAACAAGATTAAATAAAAACAAATTGTATAAAAGAAAAACAACAAAATATTTTCAACTATTCAACATTCTATACACTCGATAATTTCGAAATGGAGAGGTAAGAAACAACACATGTAAAAAACAATTAACAGTTCCATAATATTGGTAACAATGGTTGAATACCTAAAGGCTAATAAATTAGCAAGTAAAATATTTAGTCAGTACGCCCCCAGCCTTGAGTTATGATTATTCAAAATCTTTATAAGAGGTTCCGAAGCAGTTGACCAATATTAATAGGGCTATATCGACTACTTCCTATACTTTATATAAGATATATGCAAATTTTCGGAAAATGTGGAAATACGCGCGAGGTAACAGTTATAACGGACCGAAGTATTCCATTTTCATACTTCATCTAATACAGATACAAATATTGGTATGTGCGAAATTTGAAGGAAATCGAACTTTTATATCCAATTTTATGCGAAATCATAAATTTCGATAAAATACATATTCATATCAGATTTCTGGTTAAAAGAAATATTTAGATATAGCAAGTTGTAAAGAATCGCCGACTTGTTTCGCAAGTTATGACAGATATAAGTATAGGAAATTGTGACCCTTTGTGAGTTGGCAGATCTTGCGTTAGCAAAAATATTTGGATTTGTGAAATTTGAAGAGAGTTGGATGCTTATTTCGCATTTTTTGAGCGTTTTGTTTTTCAAAATCTGTCAGGGAAGGTACCAGAAGGAATGGTCCGATCTCTACCATCTTTGTAATAGATCTTGTGTTTATGGAAATATGGAGATGTGCCAAGTCTGAATGGAATCGAATGTTAATTTTGTGTTTTGTGAGCTTCATGAATATTCAAAATATTGACCCTCTGTGGGGGAGGTACCAGAAAGAATGGACCGATATATTCCCTCTTCACACCAGACATTTGATTAATAATTTGAAGACAATGTGATGTGTGTAATTTGAAGACAATCGGACACTTTCCTCACATTTTATAAAAGTTATAATTATTCCAAATTTTAACCCTTTCTATGGAAGATACTTGATGGAGCGGACGAACCGATATTGTCCATTTTGGCACCTGACCTAGCGCTGATGCTAATATTACGATTTGCAAAATTGGAACAAAATCGGATTATACTTTCTCTTTCTATGCAGTAAATTATTTTCTTCGAAAATCTTGACATTTTGTGGGGGAGATACCAGAAGGAGTGGACCGATATTGTCCATCTCTGAGCTCGATCTAATTTTGATAATAATATTACAAGAGTTATCGTGCGCAGACAGACAGACGGACACCACTAGATCGACTCCAAATGTCCCGAAACGGATTTGGCACAAAAAAGTATAAAAAGTATTAGTCGATTTTTACGACTGATGTACATTCTCACACGCATATTTTAATAAATTTTGACGCGCGTAATAATTATTCAAAGAGTTGACCCTTTATAAGGAACATGCCAACGGAGTGGTCCAATTTCCCATTTGGTCTATGTCTGGTATAAATGTTACCACGTAAAAAGTTTAAAGGAAGACGCACACTTGATTTCAATTTTTAATTTTAATTTTAACCTTTTTTGGAAGAGGTACTTGAAGGAAGTGGATCGAGATAAAATATTGGATACACAAAAAATCGCTGATTTTTTGCATGTTATAAAATAATTCATCCACACTAGATCCTGTGTTGGTAGAACTGAAAAGAATCGAACGCTCATTTTGCATTTTATGAGCGTCATGGTTATTCAAAATGTTGACCCGTTATGCGCGAAGTACGAGAAGGAGTGGTTCGTTCTTTGTATTCTTCAAATCAGATCTTGTCTTGTCTAGAAAAATTGCGAGATTTGAGGACAATGAGATAAACTTTTCTCTTTATATGAAGTAAATTATTTTCTTTGAAAATTGTTACCTTTTGTGGGAGAGGTGCCAGAAGAATAGCGCCGATATTGTCCATTTCTGAACTCGGTTTAAGTTAGCTAATTTACGATGTACGAAGTTGAGATGAAATCGGATACTCATTTCAAGAGTTATAGTGCGCACCTACCCGAACGACGGATGAACACCGTTAGATCAACTCAAAATGTTTTGAAACGGATCTCGTCCAAAGAGAGTTTGGATCTAAAACCGTATTTTCCATAAGATACGTTTTGCTCGTATTCAATGATATATACCCTCTATAGCCATGTGCCTGAGAGTATGCAAACGCCACTACGTTGCTCAGTATTAAATATCGAAATTACTTGTATTTACTGGGACTTCGCTCCGGAACCTTCCACTCGAAGAAAAACCATGTCATTACATAAATGAATTATTTTTTCGACCTACGTGTCAAATAAAGCACAAAGCATTGTTGGTTTATAAATAAAATGTTTTATTTTAAAAAACTATACTCTTTCATTGAATATGTTACAAAATGAACAAAGACGTAGATTGTATCTTGTTGTTGTTGTTGTTATTATGTTGTATTTGTAATTTAGCAGAAATCGTTAATGCCTGCTATTGATATATGTTCCTATTTGTTAAATAGTTATGCTACACACATTGAAAATGAAATTAAAGAGGAAAATTAACCAGAATTGAAAACTTAGTTTATGGCAGTCTTCTGTTGTGTTCTGAGCCCGAACTATGGGTGTAGGTGTGAGTGTAGGTAGTAGAGGAGTAAACGAAAACAAAAACTCAGCAATAAAGGAAAAGGTACTACAGTAATAAATAAGTCAGTACATCTTTGTATATATTTTTGTTCAAATCAAAACAAATCCGCTTTTCATGAATAATTTTGCAAAAAAACAACACATGAATCTGTAGGCTACGCATATACATATAAACTAAACTAGATGGGTATGAGTGAGTGTAAAATAGGAAAATGTGTATGTCGTCGAAGCTTAAAACAACGGGAAATGTACAAAATGTAACAAAACGAAACAATATATGGCCGCAAGCCAAATGAAGGACCTGTGAATATTCAAAAATATCTATCCTCTTATAAAAGACTTTCACAATTAGTACTTATGCATAAATAGTATGCCTATTTTATAAAATATATATTTACAATTCAGTTGTTGTCGCATAACAGTTTCATACATTACATTAAACCTTAAATCTAGAAATGAACGAAGGTATACACAATTTCTTCCAGGATTTATTTACAGGATAAAAATCGAAACACAACATCTGAAGTGTTATAATACAAAGGAACAAGATCTTGTTGGTACTATGGCCCTGGCGCATTGCACTACAATTGGGGCTAGAGGGTACATGTGGTGTGATGTCCAATTTGATTCTTTGGTTTCATGGGTACACTTAATTTGAAATGATCTCTAAAAATGGGCAAATGGAAAGAATTTAAAGAAATTTCAGCTCCTCTGTGCAATGTACTAAGTATAGATACATACATACAAACATAAATAGTTATTAGGTACATTTAACTTACACTAGCAACGTCGAATTTGTCTTTTTTATCAGCAGAAATATTTTACATTCTTTCCTTTCTTAATATTTATTTACTTATAGTCGTTCCTGAACGACTTGTTACCTTAAAAGTAGCTGCCTTAAATGCCTACATTATATTAACCATAATGGAAACATTTAAAATGTCCAAAAAAAAAGTTTACAGTCAATTTGATCGGAAAAGTCAGGCGGATGGGCAAACACTGGAGTTCCAGGAGCAACCGCGAACTGGGCACGTCATGAGCACGTTGTCGTTGTCTTTACATAGTGCAGTTGAAATTATTCAAAGTATTTTAAGAAGTCTGTCAATTCCTGTTGTATTGGGCACAACGACATTCTTCGTCACTGGGTGAAGCGCGGCAATAAGATTTTACAAATCTTGAAGATTGGGCTGCTGACTAATTGAAAACAAATTTCATTATATAAAGTCAAATTGGTTGGGAATGGGAATGGTATTGTATTCCTTTGTGTATAATCAGTTTTTAACCTTCTCTTCAACCCTAATATTGGACAAAGTCTTTTTTATTCGGAGAGCTGTGAGACGGGCCACAGGATTAGCATACCAACACTCCTTCATAACTTTGGCCATGCTGTGTAACACATCGGAGGCATGCCAACGATTCGGAATATTGGGACGCATCTTGTCTATACAAACGACCTGCAATTGAAAACACGTAGTCAAAGTATTAAATAGACATACGCAATGGAAAGTCCTACCTTTTTCATTTCCTCTATGGTGGGGTCCGGCTGCACTACATCGTAATAAGGTAACTGATATTCATCGTAAATCATGCCTATGTTACAACGACGAGCAATCTCCCACAGGATCAACCCGAAGGCGTAGACATCGGCTCTCTTGTACGAGTCGAAGTGTTGAGCATTCATGCTCTCGTCCAATACCTCTGGTGCCATATAACGCTTTGTACCGACACGATGAGTCGAAGGTATGTCCACGGAGTCGTTCTTCTCGACATGCCTCACAGCCAGGCCCAAATCGGCAATGGCACAGGTTAGATTCGATTTAACCAGAATATTTTTGGATTTTAGATCTCGATGGGCAATAGCTGGTTTGCCACGTGTACCCACAATGTCCATATGAAGGTGGGCCAATCCCGTGGCAATGGACAGTGCCATGCTAAGCATAGTTTTGGTATCGACCGTATGCGACGTTAAATAATCGAAGAGTGAACCATTCTCGTGGTAATCCGTGACTAGCCACAGCTGGGTCCATGTGCCATTGTCTGATGTGATAATAAAGAAAAATGGATGTAACTCATCAACTCAGAGGAATACAGCAAGCTCACCTTTGTTGTCGGCTGCTATGAAACCCAATATGTTTTCGTGGCGCAACATGACAGTCTGATATATTTCCGCTTCACGGAACCAAGAGCACTCCTCCCGACTGGAAAATATCTTCACAGCCACATTTTCGCCGCGCCAACGACCGCGCCAAACTTCCCCGAAGCGTCCTTTGCCGATTACATGGCACAACTGTATTTGGCGTGCAATAGAGCGCTGCACCAACAGTGGCAGACCGGCTAAGAATAAAGAATAGCATTATGTGTGGCAGGGGAGGGGTTTCATTTAAGTACAAACCTGAGCCAGACCCGGACGTTGTCATTTCTATAATGTCCTGCAATGTGTTACCATTTAAGATTGGATCATACACTGAGTCCTCGGGGGCAAAGGGACGCGCGCGACTCGTACCCTGTTTACGTTTTTGATAAAAACACCAAGATACAAATACCAACAGGCAGGCAAATAGTGTCGCCCCGAATATGATGGCGACCAGCACCCAAGAGTTGATGGTCTCCTCCGGCGGAAAATCTAAATGTGTCATAACATTTCGGCACAAATTATTACAAAAAATGGGCACTTTGTTTAAGCGTGTGTGTGTGTGTGCGTGTTTTATAACATTTATTTATTAATTTTGCATTTTACTTAAAGCCACCACAATTACTGAACCAAAAACAAACAAAAGCAAAAGCCAAAGTTACAAGTTAGGACATGCGGTTATTATTTTTACATTCCACAAAAAATTTAGTCACAGAAAAATGTACGCAAATGTAGGCGGGGTTGTAGGTGTGCATGGAACGTACGTAGGTGCAAAATGTGTGCTTGGGGTATTAGTATATTCTCAACTAGGTATAAAGATAAGGCCAGAGTGCAACAAATTAAAAGCCAAACTGTACATGCCATGTATTGGGGAACATAATGTGTATTAGTACTTATCTTAGCATAGGTGTGGGACCAGAGTGTAATACATATATTAAAACATCAATTAGTTTGCGGCAATATTTTAAATTTGGACGTCATATTTTTCAAGCGTTGAAAACACACTGGAGTCAATTATTTACATAGAGAACATAGATGTTTGTTATGCTGGCATTCACAAGTTTATGTACATATTTACAGGATTACAAACGCTCACATCCATTTAACATTCCATATTTTGCTAACTGCAAAAGTTCTGAGCCAAAATGAAAGCTACGACTTCATTTCTCCTCGTGTGTGTGTGTGTGGATGGGGCTGGGTGTTCTTGCAGAAATAATCCACAGATAAAACACATCTTGTCGTTTTACAGTTGCAGAATTTACACCTTAAGCTTAACCCCCAAGAGGCCTTACCTAAAACCTGACTTGACTTCTAAAAGAATGGTGCACAAATAGGTACATACGGGTGAGATAAATGATAAAAAAAAAAACACATCCAAGACAAACAGAACCCACAATAGCGAGGACTTTGCAATTGGAACTTGCTCATTAATGAAGGACCACCCAACCAACGAACTTTTCCCACAAAACGTACGCAACATTACGAAACAATATAGAGGATATGATACAAATAAAATGGACGTTACACAAAAAACCCACACAATATTAATGGACCGGACCAAGGTTGACGTAGCAAAGATGACGCACGTAAATATAGTAAGCAATTGTCGACAAAACAAGAACGAGCTGACGTCCTCCTCCTTATTGCCAATGATACAGAGTGGAGGTGATATTTATAATTCCGGATACTGTGATACTTAAACATTAATGGTATGTTCGCTTTTGAATTTCAAATACGATGAATGGGCGCAAAAGAAATGATAATGAGGGTGCTGAACATCTGTTGTTTTACTCGATTTCCATATCTATTTATTTCTGATATCAAATGATGATTTTCATACAAAGTTTTTGTTTTTTTTTTTTTTTCTAATTCTAGATTTGGTTATTTTCGGTCTCACCTGCCAGTGTACCAGCATCATTTTTTATTGTATTACAGAAATCTTCTTCACAACATTGTATAGAGGACTCAGAGGTGTTTACGTGACACCAGGCCGGGTTATCAGGCGGTAAGTGGTATTCTACAGGAAAGCATCTAATTGAAGGTGCAAAACAAAAGTCGATAAATGCAATAAGAGTATTTGGTTCATGTTGATGTTGTCAGAGTTGTTGTCTTAGCAAACTAGGTAGCCCAACTTTAAGAATATGAATATTAAAAACGGTCAGTAAATGTAATTTGCTTGCTCTTCAGCTGAAAAAGCTGAAATGTAATATTTAATATGGTATTTTACAATTATTCTCCGTCCTTCTTATGTGACTCCCTATGTGGTGGACACTTGTATACGAGCATTTGAAGTATTCCAAGTAAATGGGGATAATACCCTTTTACATTTCACGTTCAAAATTAATAGTGTAACACGATTGTCAATTGAAAGCAATTCGACTACACCAGAGTGGCAAATGCTGTACCCATACAACTGTTAATGTTCCAATAATGCTCTCAAGTAAATATTATCTTTAATTCATGAAAAGAAATTCCTCTTGGAATGCCACCAAGGTCTCTTTCACAATGTTTCTATCCAAACATGATTGAAAATAGGCCGATCTACAATTCAAAACCTTAATAATAACAAAGTTGTAAATTTTCATTAAAGGAAATAAAAAAATTATATTTTTAACTAGAATACGACTAAGTTGTCAATTGTATTAGGAAAAGAAAGAGAGCGAGCAGTGCATTTGTTAAAAGCGGCAGTTATAAAACTAGTTTCGAAATAAGGGAAAACGAAATTGGATGTTATTTCGTATAGATGGATAACAAATATTTCCATAAGAATTAGTCATTTTTCATTTAGTTATGAGGACACACTTCAAGACTATCACTAACCGCATTTATATATATATATGATGATAGATACGTGTTTTGTTTTATATTATTTCGGTAGTTTTGGTTTGCTGTGTGCAGTTTGTAATGTGTGATTGTGTTGTGTATGAGTGTTTCAGAGAAGGGGGAAAAGTAACAAGAAGGCATTTAACATACAAAGGATGTGGAAGAGAAAGGTCTATGTATATTTATATGTTCAATTGTTAAGAAAAGGAAAGGCATTCACAACATCCGGCACCATTACTTCAATATGTAATTAGCAATGCAAAAAAATAAAAATAGTTTTTGTTTTTATTTTGTTTGATCTGATCGGGGGATTGAAAGGAAGGAAGCATTTATGTGGTTGCATTCACGGGATTTAGACCTGTGTATTCTTTTTATTTGCTCATACGCCCATACTTTTTATTAGACATATAATTCATAGGTTTAACATAGGCAAGTACCACTACTAAAGAGTCTAGTTAAACAAATTAATGCAGACTAGCAAAATAAATAAAATTAGCAATAGTGGTTGGTAAAGGTGAAGAATAAGTGGAAGTATTATACTTGTATTGTAGGCAATCTGAATATGCTTTTTGTTTTGAAAGTACCTTCGGAGAATTTCAGTTTTAAGAGTTCGTTTTTGTTGCAGAAATCATCATGGCAACACTGAACTACATAGACATGTTGTTTCGGTTTACTGGTCAAACATTCAAACGGCTCCCGCTGGAGATCGTATGTTTTATCAAGGCAGCTAACAATTACAATAATGAAGAGCATTCAAAAACGTGTGGACGAACATGGTTAATTAAAAACGTTAAAAAAGAAGAACACAAGAGCAAACAATTGGTTAGAAATTTAATCATTGTACTTAGAATACATCCTAAAAACAATTCTTTTTTGCATCGCTTCTATTAAGCGAAGAGTAGTTAGTACTTCACTTAATGTAACTTAAAACAATTCTCTATTTTTTTTCTTTTTTTTTTCAAAAATACATATATACAAATTCAAATAAAAAACAAATAAAACAGAAAGAAAATAAGACAAAATGCTAAAGCCATCTTAGCTGCTGGAAAAAGTGGGAAGTAGGGCTATTTTAGTAGTTTCTTCTCTCGCGCAATTTGGGATAGTAAAGATTTGAAACGCACAACTTATTTGGGACGCGAGAGAATTGCATAACAAGATTAGATTGGGGAGCAATGAACAAATGTATGTAACAATTTGAAAGCTGTGGCTTGTGTTAAAACCGTTGGTTTCGTTTCAGATAAGTTGCTGCCCACCTTTTTTGTAATCTTTCAAAATGGGCGATAATCGCAAATTGCAAAGGTCAGAGTTCTTGCAACATGCGTGACCATAGCTATCAACGTGCCTGGCTTTTGGCCCATCATCACCACCATGTCGGCCATCATTACACCAGATAAATCGACTTGGGGGATAGGTTTGCGACTTCTGAAGGCATCTACAGACATATACCGAATGACCGATCGGTAAATATGAGGGCAATAATGTTGCAGTTGACAAACGCATATATATATGTTTGATTGCAAGTCGTAGTGTTGTCATAAAAAATTATTATTAATAAAATTAATAGAAATATTCTTAAAATAAAATGCTAATTTAAATACGTAGCTACGTGGTGCATTGAAAAAAACCCAACTTACCTGTAACTGAATATTGTGTTTCCATCTTTCTTCTCCACTGATGTGAAGCAAAAACCATATGTCTCACATATATAGTTGCTGTCTTTGCAAATGTCGCAATGACATTTCAATGGACCTGGTACAAAAAGAAAAATCAAGTATTATAAGTTAGTAGTGCTTTTAACGCAAAATGTATATGTGTCTACAGTTTAAAATATATTAATCAATTGGATAATTATCCCCGAATATGTACCGATGGAGTAGAGAAGTCAAACCCTAACATGTGCGAAGTGGAAACCAAAATATCGACAACCTCAAAGAAGAATATAAAAATCTAAAAGAAATCAGATAAAAAGTATTAGGCAATTTACTGCGCGATACATAACACACATACATGTGCTAAGATCGGACTTAACTATAGACTCTGTTTGCTTTATAAGAGGGTAGATCGAAATACACACGCATTTCGAAGAAAATTCTGAATTGATTTCACATTTTATGAGAGCAACTATAATTCGCAATGTTGGTCGTTTGTGGGTAATTTATCGATATTGTCCATTTACTCAAGTTACTTAAGCGTCATATAATTATTTGGTCTGTTCCAAAAGGGCAAGAATGTACAAATTTGTACAACGATAACCGATTTCCATTTAATATATCGAAGAAAATTGCAGAATTCTTGCAGGTTCTGCAACAGATCAATTATGTTGTAAAAAATGCATACTCCGTACGCATTTTATGTGATATAAGTTTTAGAAAATTTGAACTTTTGTGGTTGTCAGCTAGATATTTTCATACCTGATCTACGTGAGCCATACATTTTGGGCTATGCGAAGTTTATGGTTATTTTAAAATTTTAAAACCCCTCCACAAAGCTGAACAACAGTTAAGCAAGAAAAAAGTTAGAAGTATCAATACATCAAAGCGCTAATCATCACTCGTTTCCAACCGAGCGAATGTAGCAATTTCTGTATTGATAAGAATATAAGTACAAGAAAGAGTGGACCAAAATTTCCCTTCATTGAAACGATATTAGTTTAAAGAAATATCACGATGTGCCAAGAGTGACAGACGGAAATGCCTAAATCCACTATCCTGTTATTCAAATATCATGTTATTTTTGGAACGAGATATGTTTCATAATATTTGTTGTTGAGCTGCTACAAAAACAACTACCATAACACAGATCTCGTTCCAAAAAAACTTTACATGTTCATAAAAGCAAATGCACTGTTTAGGGTGTTCTAAGCAATGCAACGTAATGTTTTGAACATTTCTAAATTAATTGGAATAAAATGCAAGTGAACTTTGCAACTTCTGCAAATTAAAAAAACAAGTAACACGTTTCTCGATTTTTACTACAGACAACATTTCTACGAATTTGTATTTTTTAATTTCCTATACCTATACCTATACCATGATAGTGTATGCTCCATTCCAAAACCTGCTTTGTTTTCTTCGGTGGCTTTTAGAAAAGAAAACCTCGATTTGATCTACGTAATTTTGATTTTTATATCTTTTCGCATATGACTTTGGTTTTAGTGCGTTAAAGTAGACAAGTGATCCAAAAAAATGAGATACTTTCATAATTTTAACGTTCAATAAATTTTTGGCATAATTTTAAAACAAATCTTCAACTGGGTAAAACCCTGGTTATCCTGGGATAAACATCCTTTTTCTTTATTGAGACAGTTGGTTATGACCTATATTTAACACTCGAGCATAATTTCAATTTAAAACAAATCAACTTGGGTTACCGACTTACGTGATTTATTCCTTATCTGTTTTGGTGTTGCCAATGTGGGAGACACCAATAACTGCGGCATTGACTCATTGCGAATCGCTGCAAAAGGTCTACCGGTTCCAGAAACATATCTTCTTAAATTTCCTCCATTATTACTACTACTACTACTCCCGTTGTAGGCATGTGCATACTCCATAGGTCTGTTTAGATTGTTGTATCCTATAGATGAGGTGCCGTTGTAGTTCAATGGCGGAGATTTTATAGCAACGGGAGTGACTGTGGAAAAGGAAAACATTACAATGTAGATCAAGTATCGATTTGGCCTCAAGTTCATTTTAATTGGCTTCACTCGGATCGTTTGAAAATTGAAGGCCCAAAGTGAATTAGCACGGTATTATCGCAAGAATCAAGTAAACCCATACACCTACCGGGATACCACATTTGCAGTGCGAAACAAGTGAAGCTCTTAAACTGGACTTGGGCCATGAAAAATCTATTGTCATTTTACTTACCTTGTGCAACATGAATTATTAGAAAATACAAAAATATCGTTGTGCTGACGGACATAGTATGGCCAAACGACATATGCCTCCAATAGAGTGTATGGAGATTATTCGTAAATTGTCTATATTTCAAAACGGGCATAACTTTCATTTTCTTGTTTGTTTTTGTTCTTTCGTCGAGTACACTTGCTCTTCATTTGCATTCGAAATTAATTTCTTTTCAGGGTAACAAATTAAGTGGCCTATGTTCGGGAGAGGATATCGATGAATACATAAATGCTGCGAAATATGTACAGCGGTATGGGCACTCTTTTACCAAAATCATTTAAATGCAAGCGATAATTTTACTGGCACGAGCAAAACCACTAGGAAAACAAAAAATTAAATGCTTTGCTCCAACAGCCGATCTTATTTGACATCCTTTGCTTTTGCTGCGGCTATACCAAAAATCTCCACATTTAGGCAGGTACACTATAGAGTCCGTTGTTTATTACCCTAATTATTTTTGTTGTTTTATTAAACCATTCGGGGGCTGGGGGACTGTGCTCTTACGACGTCATTGATAACACGACCACCGCAAACACTTAACGTGTTTTATTATGAACTTTTCAGAATTCTTTCTTTTTTAATCTCACACACTGCTAATATTTTCGTTGTTAACTTCGATTTTCAATTCACAGTTTGTAGGTTTGTTGCTCTTCTGGCCATATTAAATCCTAATCTTATAGTTTCCCCAATTTTCATTTTGTTTTCTTCTCTTTCACTCTCCACCAGAACTCTTCAATTTCTTTTCTTTTTCACTAACACATTATCACGTGATTATGCTTCTATTTATTTTCAAATATTTATTAAATTGCACAAAGTTCACACTGTAATATTTGCAAATGCTTCGAAATAAATATTTTTGATAATAATTGTTAAAAATATTAAAGAATTAACACACACTGCGACATGACGGACGTAAGTAAGTCGAAACGAATTTATCGACTTCTTTTTTCACAAAACTCGGTTATTCGGAAGACCGAATAATCGATTGTTTTTATCGACTTTCGGTCGATTTAGACAGCCGTTGTCTTCTTCCAGGCCGCCGATGTCAACTGGTCTCACCGTTTACATATGACAAATTGATTTAAATCAGCGTTGCATTTTATTACCACATATACAATGGCCATGGTAGAAAAAATACAGATAAACGCATCGAAACAGCAGCTGGGACAATGAACTGTCAAACAAATTTTGTAATTGAAATTTTTGAATGAAAAATTATTATAATTTGTAAAAATTATTTAAAAAGGCATATTATAATAACCTCCGATTGACGCCGTATAAGAAAACATATAGAAATCTACCGATTTTTGAAAAAAACATTTTAAAATGTTTGACATATCAATGTTCCCAAGCGTTGATGCATCTACCTATATTCTTCTGCAATGTACAATGACTGAATATCTCCCATTACTTGGTCCGTTCAATAACTACAAGAATTTAAAAGTTTTTACTACGATAGCCGATTTTCCCCTTATGAAATCGAACAAAATTGCAAAATTGGAAGATTTTTTTTTGGCAGGTTCTGAAATAGAGCAATAATGATTGATCTGTCCCAGTACCTGCAAGAATATAATATTTTTGGGATTTTCTTCGATATCATAAAGGGGAAATCAGTTATCTTTGTAAAAACTTTTACATTCTTTCCGTTCTGAAACAGAGCAATCTGTTTAGTATTAAAAAAATAAAAATTATATATCGTCTAAAACAAATGAAGAACGGAAAATGAAAAAAAACATAAGCATTCCATTTTTGATATTATGTAACAAAGACAAATTTTGATATTTATTTATCTCAATACGTAAAAAATAACAATAGGAATAATCGGCCCAATACGGTTGGTGTTTCTATAGTCGTCATCGACGTTATGTGCAAGTCACCCTCGCCGTCGCTTCGATTCATAAATGCTATTACTGTAAGCCATAGAAGCGACAGTTTAAAATAAAAGTTATAAAAGTTGACAACAACTTAAAAAAAATGTTGGCAAAAATCCCTTTGTTTGTATTTTGAATTCTAATTTCGATTCTTTCGGAAAAAACATAGTGAATACATGATTAAAATGTTTTATTTTCGACATCCAAGCATTTTAATTTTAGTTGTTATTCATTATTTTGAACATATAAAGAAAAAAATACGTTGTATCAATATTATATTTGTTTAATTTTGGCGATCTTGTCGTATGAGTGACAAATTATGATTAAAAATGTAAATTCTGTTTCAGAAACGGCAAGTAACCGGTTTTTTTTTTGCTATTTAATACTAGTTTGCAGTTTCTGAAGTAAAATATTAAGTTGTATTAAACAAATTTATTAACTGTTACTAACCGGAATTAGTGCGATTATGGTGAAATTGTTTTGACGTTTGACGAATGCGGATATTGTTGTTTTGTAAAAAGTAGTTTTGTTCCTGAACCAGTGAATTCGGGTAGCGAAAGTAAAGTTTTTAGATTTTTCAGGTTTTGGAACAGAGGTGTGTCTACGGTTGAGCAATGCAATCGATTATAAAAATATCGATAATTCGATATTCCATTTTGTTTTGTTTTCTGAAAAGACCATTATAGATTTACGTATCCCCATGGTAGAAGAATATAGGTAGACGCATCGACACAGCTGCTGAGACAATGAACTGTCAAACCAATTTTGGAATTGAAAATGTTGAATGAAAAATTATTTAAATTTGTAAAAAATGTTGAAAACGTGAATTATAATAGCCTCCGAATGACGTAGTATAAGAAAACATATAAAAATCTGCTTATATTTGAAAAAACATTTAAATTTTTTTTTTACATATCAATGCTCCCAAGCGTTGATGCATCTACCTGTATTTTTCTGCCATGCGTATCCCTTTCCGTGACATTGCAAATCAACCGAGATGTTCTGACGCACAGTTGAAAAAAGTATTAAATGTAAAATTTCAATATTCTGAATCACCCTGTAGTTTTGGTGAAATCCGATGTGATCAATAGTTAGCAACGTTGCTAACTTCACGTAGGTGAATTTACTTTGTTTTGTTTCTGAAAAGTCCATTATAGATTTACGTATCCCTTCACATGACATTGCAAATCAACCCCGCTGAGAGAGGAGGAGAGATAGAGAGATGTTCCGACTTCAACTTAAGGATAACGTACGCCTAGAAGACTTCAAGGGATACACTGTAATTATCCCCAGTATTTGTATAGGAAATGCTGCCCAACTAGCATGTGATTTGCTAATATCATCAAAGAATTTAAAGCGAGTAGCTTCCATTAGTCATCCCGCCTTAATACCGTGCTATGGGCCGTCTGCTTTCCAGCATGAGCCTGAGGAAAAAATTGCTGCCTGCGAATTGTATTCGTGTCCTGACAGTAAACTGCTAGTCTTTCAATTCCGCTCACCTTTCATATCGACGCATATGACAAGTTTTCACAAGGAGTTGGCCAACACATTGAACAACGCTGAAAAAGTTATAGTCCTAAGTGGCAGTTTGGGATTTGAAAAACGCATTATTGATTCTTGTCCGTACGAATACAAAGCAAGTGAATCATTCAAAGGAATCCATGGCGATCGATTGCAAAACATGAAATGGAAAGAGTTTGGTGGTGAAATGATATTTGGCGGCGGAAATGCCCTGGATCTATATAAAATTATGGATGAGCAGAATGTACCTGTTATGATTCTCTTCCGTTATTTGTTAGAAGGGGACAATTCAACAGATGCCGCACTTATTTTAAGTGAGCTCAGCGAACTATGCAAAGACTTTTTAGCATTAAACACAGATGTTGGTGGATTACAATTAAAAGTTCCTATATCGTGGAAACTTTTGTTCGGAAATGATATTCCAGAATTAATTTTTTGATGAAAATGCTTATCTTTTATTGGTAGCGGTAAATTTCATGGTTAATTTTTGCTGCTGTATTGGTCTAAGCCAAATTTAATATAGGCAATATGTGGAAAGCTTAAGCCACATTTTCTATTGAAATTGCAATTTGATGTTCTTTTTTAATGAATTCTCCGAATAAAAGCTTTTTACTTCGTTAAATATTGAAAAACATAGGGAACCCATTTGCGATTAATGTATCAAACCTGTTATAAACATAGGCATTTTAATGATTATTTGGTAGCAATGCCAATTAAAGTATGGTCTTCAGTTTATGGCATTTATATGTGAGAGTGTATGTGAAATAGGGTAAGATATTTCTAATAGATCCCCTTTTACGGCGGCCTCATTTCTATTCGAAGGTTGATTAATTTCTTATCATTGCACAAACTATGGTAAAGTATTGCTCATTATTTAGATCCCATTTTATAGTGGCCTTATTTTGTTTTGTTAGCCCCCCTTATGTTTGAACAATTTCGCGGATGTGTTGATTTTGGTCAAATGCCATAAGCGCGAAAATGTGGTCACTACAATCTGAATTACTATTTTAACAATACAAACGTCGTTTCGTTTGTTTATTTTTTTGACAACAGTTTAATACGATTGAAATGATTATCCATCCTTAAAATGTTAAGCCGTAAGAACAATTTTTTGTTTCAACTAAATTTTAAAATATTTTCGGCATTTTTGTGCTACTCAAACAATATACGCAGTGACAAAACAGTCTTTAGTCTTTGTATATGATAGAATAACAATTTTTTTGTAATACTTATATATTATCTAAAGAATAGGGTACAAATTATACAGAACAGAAAATAAAGATATAAACATTTTTAAATAAAACTTTATGATATGTTAAATGCATGAACATCTGAAGTGATACCATTTTTATCTTATGGAAGTACTCAATCAATATATTTTTATTATTAAAACGTTTTGGCAATAAACGGTACTGAAATGCATTGACCGAATATGAGAATGTTAAAAACATTTTTTCTGGGATTTAAGATAATTACGATTGTTAGAAATAATAAAGCATCTATCAAGATTATATATTTCTGAACATTAAAACCGCTCGAATAATGTTGCTACCTATTGTCACTCATTTCAAACACCGCTGGTTTCGAGTGCTATCAGTCGTAATATTGCAAGTTTGATTGGACGTTTGAAACGTTTTGTTTATTAATTAACGATGTTTACTAGGCATATTTATTTAAATGTTCTTTGAAAAAGGGCAGCATTTAACAATTTTGGGCAACAAATCATTAACGCATATATATATATATATATATATATATATATATATATATATATCAAGTAGTTAAGTGTGTCAACATTATAATGAGCAAGGGTTACACTATACTTATAACAATTAAATAATAAAATATTCCACGGAACTCCAATTTATCGTTTATATTTAGCTAATTCCAGCAAAACGTCAACAGTAAAATAATTTGAAGATAATCGTTGTCTTGGAGTGTCACTCAAATGTGCTTTAGGTGTCTAATCAGTTGGTGCGATCTGAAGTACTTTTACGATAAAAACCCACGACAGTGCCATGATCCGTCTTAGTTAATAACGGTATTTTGGTGCAGACATACCACGAGCTGCCAAACACTTCAAAGATATTTTGTATAAAAACAAGTTCAAATTAAAACAGGAATAAATACAAAGTCATGGGAGTATTAGCGCCAACTGATACATCTGACCATAATATGGAAAGACGTGAGTTTGTTTCGCCTCGTGACCTTTCGCATTTATCTATTCGAAATATTCAAATCAATTAACACAATTAACAAACAGAGATGTTATTGATATTCGTGACAAATCAGAAAATATGTGGATCTTTAGTAGATTTATTTTCGTATAAAGTGTGCCTCTGAGAATGTAAAAATAAACACAAAATTTCAATATATTATATACATATATTTTTTATAGAAAACACACAAATCAATGGAATCAATATCAATACCTAATTTAGATTATAACGAAAATGGTGTTACGTTCTATCAGAATGCTATCTCACTTAACAAAGGCTTTTAAATTACGATCTTCCAAATGCCTGAACGAATGTGTCGTATAAGAAACTGAAGGCTGCAAATTGTATCTTACCAGAAATCATGCAACTACAGGCACAAGAAGGTGCCAAATCTAGCCCCAAGCACTACTCAAAATTTTTTATTTAACGATTGTAGACCTGTTTGTTTTCTCTTCAAAATGATAAGATTAATATGAGCTGAAACTTCGAACTCGTTGAAATTTTAGTATTTCAAAAAAAAAAAAAAATAGTGAAATAATAATAATTTATTTTATTTTTCATGTAGGCACTTGATATATGGCTTGATACGTATGTTCTTTAGATGGCATGTCAGATAAAATACATTGTCTTACTGCCCTAAACAAAAGATAGCTTCCTGGCGTTGTGCCTATGTACGGGCCTATCAAATTAATAGTGTTATTGAAGTAGCCCGAAAAAGCAATGTAGCGTGTGAAATATTAAAGAAATAACTGTTTTGCACATTTTAATTGCTATTCAGGCATAATTTTTTTAATTACCTCACTTCGATCGAATCTCTTTCTATCCTTTATAAATTCAATAAACTAGTCAAGTCTTTTAGAAGCTGATAACAAATTAACGCATTGTAGTGGACAAATAACTAATCTCTCATATGACATGTGTGTTGTAATAAACCTTGAATTTTATTGAATTAAAAACAAATTGAGCTTAGAGTTTGATCAGTTTTGCATTTGAATTCGTTGAAATCGGAACATTGCAAAAATTTGTAATGGTTTATCTATCATCTATTTCGGAAAAAACACCTTTAATAAGAAATTATATGAAAATATATTCTAAGGAATCAAGAGATCTCAGTAAATCATTTTGAAGGATTCAAAACAAGAATTTCAAAGAAACACTTTATTCTCCATTTACAGCTAATATATTTGGAATTCGACATGTCCAGAGCATACTACTCTTCTTTGGAATGTGCTTTGGGTACTTTCTACGTGTGAATATATCAGCGGCTATTGTTCCTATGACACAACCTACAGCTGGCCAACCCTTTTACGATTGGGATCCCTCCAAGAAAAGTCTTATTTTATCCAGTTTCTTTTGGGGCTATGTGGCATGTCAAATGCCAGCTAGTTTGATGGCCAAACGGTTTGGCGGAAAATTGGTTCTTGGCGTATCGACGTGCGTCGGTTCAATATTAACCATATTAAATCCTTTAGTTGCGGACAAGGGAGACTGGCAGTATGTTTGTGCATTAAGAGTTTTAATTGGCTTTACGCAGGGCACCGTCTACCCATGCATGCACACGCTCTTGGCAAAGTGGGTTCCACATCAAGAAAGAGGCTTCTTATCCTGTCTTGTTTACTCTGGCGCACAATTTGGAACAGCATTCCTATTGGCAATTAGCGGTAACATATTTGACTCAGAGATGGGTTGGCCAGGCATATTTTACGTCACCGGAGGTATTGGAATTGTTTGGTCTTTGGTATTTTTAATTTTTGGCGCCGACACGCCTCGTGATACCAAGTTTATATCTGAAGCTGAAAGGAAGTATGTCGAATGCTCAACAGGAAGTGATAACCAGCCGATAAACGCAGTAAGTTTTCCGACTGAAGTTGACTTTATCACTAAATCGAAAACTAAATATTGTCTTTTCATTTCAGGCTGTGCCTTGGAAAGCAATGTTCACATCTGCATGCTTTTATGGGCTGATAGCAGCTCATTGTGGATTTACTTGGGGCTTTTACACTCTCTTGACTGAAATACCTACATACATGGCTAATGTCCTGCATTTTAATGTTAAAACAAACGCTTTGCTCTCCGCACTTCCCTATTTTGTAATGTGGATGCTGTGCCTGGTTGTAAGTCCAATAGCTGATACACTGATCAATCGCAATATAACAAGCATCACTGCATCACGAAAAATATTTAATACTATTGGTCAATGGGTGCCTATGGTATGTCTCATTGCTCTGGGCTACATGACGGAAGACCAAAAAACCACAGCCACCGCTTTATTGACCATAGCTGTGGGATTTAATGCAGCTTCCTTCTGTGGATACTTGGTGAATCATATGGATCTTTCGCCCAACTTTGCTGGTTTAATGATGGGCGTAACCAACATGGTGTCCAACCTTTTATCCATTTGCACCCCTCTGGTTGTAGGAGCAATTGTCGTAGATGAAGAAAGTCCTGACGAATGGCGTATAGTATTCTTTATAACAGCCGGAGTGTATTTGCTTTGCAACGGTCTGTTTTTGGTATTTGGTAAAGCTACAGTACAACCATGGAATAATGTGAATACTTCGGCTAGTACCACCACATTACCGAACAACACCGATAGTTTATCAGTAACAGACTTTCATTCATAAGACAAGCGTAGACAAGGAACTTGTACGAAAAGTGGTACCTGTGTTATACACTCTAGGAAACATTGACTGATATAGATAGCAAGGTTTTAAGGGATCGTGAAGTGAAAAAATAAATATTGTATAATATTTAAATAGATGATAAGGTTAACTTTTGATACCTAAATAAATAAGCAACTATATTTAACGTACTCAGCGATCAATGTTTTTTTTTCTTGTTGAGAACACTTCAGATTTTACTTTACCCCTATCGTTGCTCTTGTTAACAAGACGTTTAATGCTTCTGCTCTTATCTTTGTTTCATTGAGCCGCACAATGGAAAGCTCTGCAATATAAAATAAAAAAAATAAATAGTATTGTTTTTTTGATACAGATTTTTGTTATGTGACCATCGATTGTTATATATATGTATTTTCATGCTGAGTGTGAAAAATATATACGAACTCTTATGTCAAATGTAAATCGGTATTTAATAATACTTTAAATAGGTACATGTGGCACATATTTTTAATTATACTTGAATCCAATCATATAATTGTTGTTTTTCGCAGATTTTCCCTTGCTTCTGGTAACTTTCTTCTAATGAAATGAAAAACTACCAAAATTGGACGCTAAATTTTTAACATATTATAATAACATTATAATTATTCCACATCGTTTTTATAAAAAACAATTAGATCTGCGTAAACAAGCTTTATAGCGCAATTGATAAAAACAAAATAATTGCTTCTTGTGTACGGTGAATTGTTTTATTTTATCACGTATAATACATTTAATTATTTCTATGAACAATTATAAAATGACTAATATAACATAATAACATACCTACATAAAAACTTGTCACACCAAATATGATTTCATCATTTCTCCATTTACTTAATAATATTAACTACTTATTTTTTCGCTGCAACAGTCGTTGCTCTTCTAGATTTGCATTAATGGCAATCGGTATATGCCGTGTTCTAAGTATTGTCCATAACGACACTACCCAACTGGCTATAATGGTTATGTATAAAACCGTCGGGTGGGCACTTTCGTTTCCGATAGGTATTTCAGCATGCAATGGCGACTTAATTTGCAGTGCGATTTTAATATCCTTCCACTTGCAAGTTGCATCGCGAATGTGTTTAGGGCCCTCCCTGATCGTCGGAATTGTTTCATCTAAACAGTAGCCTGGACTAGTTTCAATTTCTAACTCGCGCTCAACAAACGTTTGTTCTTCTTGGCTAGGACAGCTTATGTACATAGCATTTGGTGCAAAGAGATCTATAGGAATAAATGACCTGAAATACAAATGGTTGTCAAAGAAACGGAAGCAACAAATCATCTGATACCCTTACTGTTCTTCACTTGGTGCATGGTAGCGAAAATGTATGGGCAAATGAATTGTGTCTGTAACTTTAGTTGTTCCTTTTATAAATATCTCAAATCCACTAGAGTCTTCTGTAGGTTTTTCAATATCAACAAATCGAGGATATATAGCTTTTAGCTGTTCCCAAAAATATGTATAATCGATTACCCATTGTCATTAAAATGTAAAAATGTTGGGGCATACCTTATCCTTCCTTGAAAGATCATCCAGCTGATCCACATTTATGTACACAGATGGTGGAAAGGACTGTCTTAATATGTACTCACAAGTTTTGCCTGCCAGCGGATAATCAAATTGCACCGTATAGATAAGGTTTCTGGAATGAGAAAAAATTAAATACACAAGAATACCCAAAGACACTGATATCTCCAATAACAATGTGGGCAGGGCTCCACACACTTGAGTAGCTAATCAACCGTACAATTCAATTGCGTGGAATGGTATGAGTAATACAATGAAACTTGAGGCATTTCATTTCATTTTACAAACCTGTGAAATCCCTCTTCACCCAACTCTACGCCGACAACAGGTGTGGACAATAGATCCTTTTGTTGCAGTGACGACATGATTCCAAGCAGAAAACATGTTACAAACAATATTTCTCTCATATCCTTGACTGTTTTCTATTCGATATATTTTTTGCTTTATAAAACAAACAAATCATACAAAACGCAATTTTATGTAGGATTTTGGGGCAGGTGTGTGTCTAACTGCAAGAGGTATTGATGCTGCAACAATATTTTCCAAATCGATCCATTGGACAAAAGGAATCTTGGCTTTAATTTACAGACATTTTTGTTCCCAAAATTTTCAATGAAATTTACGAAAATTTCCAAATTTTCCGTCTAATGTGGCGTTTCCACTACACTTGATTCGCTCTCTATTCGTTGTTTGACCCTTAACTATGAAAAAACTACCTAATTCTTCACACAACATTTCCTGAGCGAACACTCATATTTGTACGTTGTTCAAATCAAATCACTCTCAGAACAACGAAAAAATATGTCCCATCCCTAACAAATGAGAGCATTTATCGAAAAAATAAATTATGACATTTAAAAATTAAAAATAGAAAAATTTTATGAAATTTTAAAAATTTTTGGGAAGACTGAAAATTATGAATGAAAACTACAATGTTGAATGGCTTATGTACATTCAAACGAAAGTAAATTTTGTTTTCTCTCTCATTCGAGGTACGCAATTTGTCCACGAGTTAAAATTTCCACAGAAAACGCAAACAAAAGAGGCAACATTTTCAAAATGTTTCTATCGGCAGAAAAAATGTTTGACAAGTGTCTCTCCAGCAGAATTTAAAAATGGAAAAACACAAAAATGTTTTCAAAAAGTCAACATTTACACAAAAAGTTGAAATCGTGAATGAAAATTGTAAAATTAATGATATAATAAATCTTTGGGAGGAAAACAATAATTTCTTCTATTCATATATGTGAGAATTTCATGTATTTTCGTATAAATTCCCATTAAAATCAACAAACAAAATTTTTGAAAAAAGGAATTATTTTACTATGAATTACGAATCGTGCCGTATGAACGGGTTAATTCGTGTACCTAATTCTGAGAGCGAACAACGTTGTTCGGTTTCCAATGGAAACATACTATAAATCGTCTAAATAATAAATTTTAGTTCTGGCATTTTATCCGATAAATATGGCAGAAAAACTATTAATCGATAATAACTCTCACAGTTGAGTATCGATGCTATTGTTATTGTCATCGATTGTTTATTACATTCATGGTAGAAGAATACAGGTAGATGCGTCATCGCGTTAGCGTTTTTCAATGTATTGGTCAACGCTTTATGAGCCATTATGGTGAGCGGAATTGAAAGACTAGTAGTTTATGAAAGGATACCAATACAAGGACACGAATACAATTCGCAGGCAACATTTTTTCCTCAGGATCATGCTGGAGAGCGGACGGCCCATAGCACGGTACTAAGGCGGGATGATTAAATGCTAGTTGGGCAGCATTTCCTACACAAATACTGGGGATAATATTATCCTTAAGTTAATATTATCCAGGCGAATATTATCCTTAAGTCAAAGTCGGAACATCTCTCTCTCCTCTCTCAGCGCGGTTGATTTGCAATGTCACGGGAAGGGATACGTAAATCAATAATGGACTTTTTAGAAACAAAACAAAGTTAATTCACCTACGTGAAGTTAGCAACGTTGCTAACTATCGATCACATCGGATTTCACCAAAACTACAGGGTGACTCAGAACATCGAATTTTCAAATTTAATACTTTTTTTCAACTGTGCGTCAGAAAAGAGAACCTGGAACCGAACATACATTACATCGATTACATTACATTTTTAAATTACTTCAGAATTAACAAGGACTGCTGTCAGCGTGTACTAATAGAATTTTTGCCAAACTCTTCAATATTTGTTGAAAAATTTCCAATGGCATGTGTTTTTACCTGATTCCAGGATTTCTTTTCTTGGGGGACGGACCCCGGACACCAGATTTTTGACCCGAATCTATTTACCCAATATAGGCTATATACGTACCGCTTATGAAAATACCTATCCAACAAGTGGTCACTTGATGGGGTTATTTAAAGCGGTTCGGAAGTTATAGTTAAATTAGCGAACATACTCTTATAGCTGACATTATAACTTTTCTAAAATGCTACAATTTGTGAAAATACATTTTCTGGGTCTAGAGATATTCTCTTTTGGGTATGTTCAACCGGCTATGCGAACTAAAGTTTTCTAAATTTAACAGATGTTGTAAGTAGCCGGCCTTCGGTGGCCATGTGACCACTTATTGGATAGGTATTTCAATCGATACCTATATTGCCTATATCGGGTATATTCGGGTCTCGAACTCGGACTTTCGAGTGAAAAATCTGGAGTCTAGGATCCGTCCCCCAAGAATTAGGATTCCCGGAATTAGGATTAATATACCTAACACTGGAAAAAATTTTTCGAAAAAATCGAAGAGTTCTTATTAAACTAGAGTTGTTCCAATTGGGCAAAGCATTGAGATTTTTAGCGCTAGGATTTTATTAGACCAGTGTCGGAAATTACTTCAATATTACCAAATTATTCTGCAGCTGTTATTTTCATGGTCAGATATCAATGGTTAAAAAATGAAGGTCGACTAAAAAATACCACATCGTCACAATTTTTTACGGCAACTGATATTCTCTAAAAACGACTTCACGTCGACTGTTCTATCGACAATGATAATATCAAACATTCATCGCTATCGACAAAAAAATGACAGCTCTAATACCGTTATTGTCGTCTCGACTTCATTTTGCGACGACGACAACGGTAATAGGGCCAATTATTATTGGTGAGAAAAACTAGAAGATTCTTACAGGTTCTGGAACGGAGCACAGTTTTGTCGCATCGATGATGCATCTACCTGAATTCTTATACCATGCTTGCCAACCACTACGTTGGCAACGTTGCCGACATGTTCGCGTTGCCATTATTATGTATTTCGAAACTGACGTGGCCTCCGAGTTACTCTTGTAAAATCAATAATTGCCGGTAGTCAGTGTCGAAAGTTGGTGGTGTATTCGTATTTTTATTCTTTTTGTGCAGCAAATAAAAAATATGCATAAAGCATTATTGGTTTTGTGCCTAGCTGGTTTGGCATATTTGTCCAATGCAGCGGAAAGCGATGTACTGGAACTGACCGATGATAACTTCTTATCCGTCTTGAGTGAGCATTCCACTACATTAGTCATGTTTTATGCCCCCTGGTAAGATTCAAGAATCAGTAAAAAATCTAGTATTAACAAAATTTACACGTCATCTTGAAAGATTTTTAAAATTTTTTGTTCTACTGGGAATGGTATGTGCACAAACACACTTTCATAAGGTGTGTGCATATAAACGGTTTTTATATTAGTGTGAGTGAACAGGGTCTATCGTTTCATTTTGGTTTTAATGTCTAGCACTTCTATAGATAACTTTGTAATGTATTGCTTGTAGAAACAATGAATTAATTGCCTTTTTAGCCGGTCAACAGAAAAAGAAAAGCAAATTTTATGGGAATTGCATGATGTAAATGTCTATTTATCTCGAGTCCTATCACCTATTACCTCGCTGTCTTCACGCGCGTTATATGGTAATAAATAACGTGGAATATCTTATTTTCCATATAATGAAAATGTTAACGACAAGCTGTTCTGAACATACTTCGCTTACACACTTACAGTCTGTCAACTAAATGTTTGCAACGAACATTGCTTTAAATGAGATGTTTTAACAACAACTACAGAAAATGGGAAGCAGAAAACAAACAAATGTTTGTGTGATATTGGCAGAGCCTATTTTCCAGTATATGACTTAGGAACTGTATCCACGGCTCAATATTCGAAGATTCGTCACATATTTACAAATGTTATAATTTTGTTACTAAACAATTGTTTCCATTTAGAAACACGGATAAACAAATTTCGGTTTTTGGGACTATTTATAGCTAACTTCCAAAATGGAGACGAATAAAGACTGGGACCATTAGTGTTAGAATGTTGAAAGCAACGTCATGATTTTAATAAAATTAAATCAACTCAAATTTTAGTATCAGTGCGGCTTGTTATTTTAGTTAAATGCTGAATGGTCCATCCGGTAGATTTAATCTGTAAACCCGCATATTCCCTCATGTTGATATAATATTGTAATGGGTGCCGTGTTTCTAGGAACAGAAAAAATACAATTTTTCAAAATAGGTCAACACATTTAATTTCCGTTTTGTTGATAAAATTGTGGCAACAATAAAGCAATATTTTTTGTGATAAGATTTGTTTTAGTATTTTTAAACAACTAACGTTGGGTTGTATTGATAACAAATTTTTGTTAAGAAATTAAGTTAGTTTCTCATAATTATGTATATTTTTTTAGGTGTGGCCATTGTAAACGACTAAAACCCGAATACGCCAAAGCTGCCGAAATTGTAAAAGATGATGATCCTCCTATTACATTGGCCAAGGTATATAAGTTATGGTTATATACTTTACACAACTAAACTACATGTTTTTATTAATTTTATAAAGGTTGATTGTACTGAAGCTGGAAAAGAAACATGTAATAAATTCTCCGTCAGTGGATATCCTACATTAAAGATTTTCAAGGGCGAAGAGGTTTCACAAGACTACAATGGACCCCGTGAAGCTGCTGGTATAGCTAAGTACATGCGTGCCCAAGTTGGCCCAGCTTCAAAAGAAATAAAATCGGTTGAGGAGTTGGATAAGTTCTTTACGGCAAAGGAAACAACCATCTTTGGATACTTCAAAGACGTCAACTCCAAACTGGCCAAAACATTCTTGAAATTCGCCGACAAAAATCGTGAAAAGTACCGCTTTGGTCACAGTAGTAACGAAGAGGTTTTGGAAAAGGCAACTGAAAGGTTAGAACAGAAAACAACTAGATTCTTGAAAAATTAAAATGATTGTAATTCATTGTATTTTATTTCTGAATAGCGATGCCATCGTCCTTGTCCGTGCTCCACACTTGGCGAATAAATTTGAAGAATCCACCGTAAAGTTCGATGGATCGTCCGAATCTGATCTAACCGCTTTCGTGAAAGAAAACTAGTGAGTTTACCAAAGATATATACATAGATGTCAATTTCACAATTGTGTGTTTTTTTTAGCCACGGATTAGTGGGTCACCGTACTCAAGACACTGTGCGCGATTTCAAAAACCCTCTGATCACTGCTTATTACGGTGTTGACTATGTCAAGAATCCAAAAGGTACAAATTACTGGCGCAATCGCGTACTTAAGGTAGCTAAGGAATTTGCAGGCAAGTTGACCTTTGCTATTTCTGCCAAAGATGACTTCCAACACGAGCTCAATGAGTATGGCTATGATTTTGTTGGGGATAAACCAGTTATTTTGGCCCGTGATGCTAAGAACTTAAAATATGCACTGAAAGAGGAGTTTTCTGTCGAAAACTTGCGCGACTTTGCAGAAAAATTGTTGGAAGGCGAATTGGAACCTTACATTAAATCTGAACCAATCCCCGAAGATAACAGCGCCCCTGTTAAAGTTGCCGTTGCGAAAAACTTCGATGAAGTTGTTATGAACAATGACAAAGACACTCTCATCGAATTCTATGCTCCATGGTGTGGCCATTGCAAGAAATTGGCCCCTGTTTACGATGAGTTGGCCGAAAAGTTACAAGACGAAGACGTAGTCATTGCGAAAATGGATGCCACGGCTAACGATGTGCCTCCAGAATTCAATGTACGCGGCTTCCCTACACTATTCTGGTTGCCCAAAGACTCCAAGAATAAGCCAGTTTCCTACAATGAAGGTCGTGAAGTCGACGACTTCTTGAAATTTATTTCGAAACACGCTACCAAGGAACTGAAGGGTTTCGATCGTAGCGGAAAACCCAAGAAGACAGAATTGTAAATTGTAACAAAAGTATAATGTAATATTAATAATGCCAGAAGGCAAAAACTTCATTCACATTTCCATTTTTCATATTTGTTCTCAAAATATCCCAGAGCATTTTCGACATCGCATACAATTCCTTTAGGAGTATATGCTAGCATTTAATGTTAAAATCGTGAATCTTCTTTTTTAATTGAATTTAAACAATAAAATTACATCTAAGAAATGTGGAGTATTATTTTACATGACTCTAGGTTATTTCAAATAATTATTGGTTTGTTTAGAACTCCACTTGCGCAAATAATGTTTATGGGAGTTGAAATTTACCAACATCATCATTTTCAACCAAATTAGAAATTTTTAGAAAAAATATGGAGTCAAAGATAGGAAGTGGGTGCTTGATATTTCAAAAGCTTTAATTGAGGAAATATTTCGATACAAAAGCGGCATCATCATTCTAGAGGCAGCAACAGATGTTATGTAAAACTTAAACATTTTCACGGGTCGTACCAATAAAATCAATGTGGGTATTAACGTACTCTACTATTCCTGACATAAAAACTCAGCTATTTCTCACAATTCATTTATTTATCATTCATTTTGAATTTTATTCCTTCGGGTTCTATTTTATAAAAATAAAAATTAAATTGGTAGTGTTTAAACTTATATTGAATTCAATTTTTAAAACTTTAGGCTATTGTTGCCAATTAAATAAATTATTTCTCCAAATTTTTCAACAAGCGAATAACTCGTTCAACTTCTGCGCCAATATTTCGAATTTTGGTCAAACACTCGCAAGCACGATCGTTTTGTTTGCTCAGCAAACACCTAGATTCGCCGAGAAAAGAAAACAAAATAAAATAACGTTACATGTAGGCGAACTTATGCTACATACAAGAGAGCTGCTCCATGTAAATTTCCGTTTTTATAAAGATGTGTAATCCATTGTTCACTTATTTTGTCATTCAAGGGGTCGTCTGGCTGTAAGTAAATGCGAGATATCAACAACGCTTCCTTAAAATATGACTTTTCCACAAGGACTTCTATGGCATCGCGTTCCTGATGAATGGCCATCATATAAACCACAGCTTGAAGTACATAGCCCTGCTCCACTAGTTGTTCGGCATAGGCCTGGCAACATTTTTGCCAAAAACTAAACAAAAAATGAATAACCATGTATCAGTGCGAATTTGAATAACTCCACATACTTATATGAAATGCTGGGCGCCAGCGAAACATGCCACTCGCACAACTGTTTATTCTGAACACATTTAAGAATTTCATCCTTTAAAGTACCGTTAACCTGCGGCATGTAGAGGTTAGATATTCCTTTGGTTTCACTGTTCTGGTGGTTCTTAACTAAGAAACAATAAATTTCCATAAATAAAATCATCAATATCGTTGCTGTACATACGTTCCTCTGACAGCAGCTGCATTGCTTCAGTTTTGGAACCAAACAATTTGGCACACAATGACTTGTTTTCCATTGTCTTTCCCAGAGCCGAATCATTTAGAATATTAAACATAATTTCCAAAGCTTCCTTATTTAATTCCTTAGATGTGAGGTACAACAGGGTCGAAGGAATCTGTAATTTTAATTCGATTTCAGATACAATTTACGCCTTTTGAGATGTTCTCAATTCAATTAACCTTCATATAGACTGATGTTCCCACAGTTGAAATATTCTTCCGGATGTCTAGTTCTTCAAACATTTTTGAAACTTCATCGCAGTTTGTTTTTGCTCCGTTTGATCCATCGGGACACCGATTACAGTTACTGGATTCCAGTGGACTCTTCAGGTCTATAGCTTTATTCGACTTTTTGTCGCCTTGTAGCGGTTTGCCTTCGTTCCTTGATGGGGTTTTGGTTGCCCACTGAACATTGTCCAGAGTGCGAGTACGCTTCGTTTTGGTGGAATTTACATCTGGTTTTTCTGTGCGCATATCTATGAATTCCAATGATGTACTCATGCCTGCACACATTACGACCTCTTCGTCAGTTGGTAAAAATAGACCGCATTTCATTGGGCAGTGGTACAATTTGAGGAAACGTTCATCTGAACTTTCTTTTTTCAAATCCCAAACACGTATTGCACCATCAAAGCCACAAGTTAGTAATAAATTCTCATTTCGATTGCTCCACTTCACACAGGAGTTTGCAGCTTTTGGCGATTGTATTTCTATCTTACGGAATACTGACAGACATGTGTTTTCTTCCTTGAACTCTAGGATATGAATAACGTTGGAATTGGTTGTTACTGCAAACTTGTTTCTAGTAATTGGGCTCCAAACTATTTCTGTTACATAGCGTGAAGATAATTCAAGTTCCTTTCTCAATTCATATTCGAAGTTTGGAGTTTCCTTAGATTTTAGTTCATACAGTCGTAATCGACCATTTTGAGTTCCGACAAAGAGAAAACGATTTTTCACTGATAAGGCCGATACCTGAGTAATGTCTGGTATTATGTATGCATCTAGAAGATTATAAATGAAGAAGAACAACGTCACTATGCGCTTGCAATTTCTCGAAGAATAAATTTCCACAATGTAATTTATTACAACGATTCTATTTCGAAATTCACTTAGAGTATCTATCTATGATATAGTTACACATAGGCTTCTTATGAAATAGATTTTTTTATTCCTCCTATGAGGGTTTATTCTGTATCCCCTGATATACAGTGTACTTTCAACCAGGGTTGACGTAGAAAAAAATGTGATTTTTTTCTCTATGTGCAACTTAGTTGCTATAAAACTAAGTGTTGTTATTTGGTTGTTACTGACAACAAAGTCAAAAAAAATTATTTTACTTATAAATTCGAAATGAATTTTTTCATCGTTAGCGTAAATGATATTCTACCCGATATTTTGCAAAAATCCTACCAAGGAAGTTCAAATAACAGCTTTAGGGATTATCTTTTAAATTTTATATTTGAGAATGGCAAACCCAAATCAAATGTCGGTCATACTGGGGACTACAAACAGAAAATCCTTCGAAACAAATTCATTGGTATCGACGACTTAGTACCATATTTCATTGATGAAGGTGCAAAAATGTTTCTAAAAATAGATTGTAATCTTGCAAAGTTTCTGCTACGTCTAATGTTGCACGATAACGTCGACGGGTTGACACTTGGGCCCGGAAAACTGAGTTTGTGCAAAATCGAACAGTTTATGCACAGATGTTTAAACAAATATGCCGATCCTGCAGACATAACCATGGGTTCCTTGAATCTTAGTTACTATTCCAGGCAGAATTTTGGATTTAAACTAGATGATTTAAAGGAAAACGTCGAGCATTCTCTTAAAGAAAAAACAAGCAGTTTAATGCATGAGATATTAAGATATCCAGAGAATTGCGGTGCCAAACAACTGGACGAAATGTACACAAAAATTCAAATTTTTATAATAACGAATTATTTTATTGGTTGTCCGTCAGATACTGAGGTAAGATGAATGATTCAAGTCTAATTTGGCACCTTTTACCACTAACCATGTTCTGCAGTTACTTAAGCGAACGCGTCAAAGTATTGACAGTGTTTTGGCTCGTGGAGATATTCAGAAGTATGTGTTAAAGAAAAAATATCATCGACACGAATATTTACATAGATTAGGTGCAACAGTATGTGGTATTATGGTATATAACATGTATAATGGTACAGAAAGGGATAAGACCAATAATGCTATAAACGGTAATTATGTTTCTAAAAAAATTTCATGAGATGGATCTTGACATTGTGTTATTTGTTCCAGTAAATGGCGATTTAGAAATGGCTTTGCTCAACACCAACGAATCATTGGGAGAGAGCTTAAAGATGGCTGCAGCTAACATTGAAACTGCTGTTCATATACTGGAAGAGGCAGTACTAATCAACATCAAGGAGAAAACTGTCACATATGGACAGCCCTTAAAAGTCCTACGTCAAATCAATAAATTCGTTATAGTCTTTTCGATCTATAAAAGAAACCTGGAACGTATAAACGAGATGGTCCACAAGATACAGTATTGGATTGATGTGGCAAAGAAGAAGTTTCATTGCGTAACCGAAAAAATCAACGACATTCTTAAGTTTCGATCTGCAATTGAGACTGAATTTATATTTGTGAGATTATTAATTATTGATAATCTAAATGACAAAGCATTATTATTAGTTATATTTTTAGCCTCACTTTGTTTATCTTAGTGAAGTGTGGACCTCCTTGATTATAAATCTGAATTGTTTAATGGAAGTGAACAAAATCAAAGATCATCTAGATGGAATTGTCAGTGAAAATGTGCAGAAGCACTACCACTCCTTGATAAGGAGTATTTCTCAAACCACAAGTACATCAAAAACAAGGTTTGAGGAAACACTGATTGGCCAACTGAATATAGATGACAAAAAACAAAGTATGGACTATACGAAGCTTGTAAGTTTGCTACAATGTTGTTATCGCTATAATGCCATATGTATACACACATACAATTTCAGGGTCTGTTTCTTAAGGACTATTGTTTCCTTACAATAGTTGTGACAAAAGGTTTATTAGTTCCTTCAAGAATAGAGTGGAAGTCAAATCAACATTTAAACACGATTTTCGGCCTTGCAAACACTGACTTTCTCAGATATGCTGAAAACAACAAGAAACGTATTTTGCAGGAATTCAATAATATGATTTTAAGATCAGTTGGCATGATATTGTTTTTACAATTGGAAGATGCCATAGTTAAGCTAGGCTTGAATTCGTCGGAGGACGTTACAACAAAACAAAAAAATTGTTTTGCACAAACTGAACTGCATCAGAAAGAGTGGAAACCAAAAAATAACAATCTTTCAAATGTCTCCTGGAACGTATGGGACCATCATAGGCGCACCATAGAATTGGCAAATCAAAGACAAAAACAAACTACATCTGCACAAACAGACACATCTTTTGGCAAAAGGAATTGTCATATCCAATGTTACACGGCACAGTCATCGTAAAACAAGTACCTTTCTTATTTGGATTGTCTTCGTAAACTGCGATGCGATCGTTGCACACCACAAACAAATATTTATCTTCCCAGCTTATGGAGTATATGGTTTTACCACAAACTGAATTGAAAGCGAATGGTGATTGTTTATGTCCGGCCTCAACTGATATAATACCAATCTGAAAATATATGCAAGTCAATAAATATAGATGTGTTTTAACATGGGAAAAGCAAAAAATAATCAGCTCACTCTGCCCTCTTGCGTTCCATATGCGATTTTTTTACAGTCCGGACTCCAAATAAGCGAAGTTACAGGTGATTCGATTCGTTGTACAAAATTGTCTATGTGTATGTGATTTGGAGCTATTTTGGAAATATCTATAATTCCAATTCGACGATCGGAAAATGCCAAGGCTATTCTGAATAAAAAATAAGTTTATTAACGCATTTTTTTCAAATCATTACTATGCATACTTATTCATATCATCCGGACATTCGCGCAAGGCACCTATATTCGTAGAGACACAACCATATTGCAATTGTATTTTGTTAAGAGACATATTTTCCATTGTGATTTCCCTATTGGATGAAACACACCACAAATACTGCCTGGATCTGCAAGCAGAGAAGGCAACAATCGTGCATTGCTGCCAAGGTCGTTTGACTTCTTTGAACTTATACCGCTTTAAAGAATTCTCGCCTGTGGTACATTTTTTACCAGTCTGTGCTTCAATCGTCCATAGCTGAAGTTCGCCCGACTTATTGGATGTTATAAAAGATGTCGAATTTAGCCAAGATATCTCAACACTTGTATCTTAAATAGAATTATGTTGGAGTTAGACCACTACTTCTATATTTAAAAAAATGTAATTCGCTTACGTTTCTTATTTTTATTTCCGTTTGAACCCCGGAGCTTGTGGTGGTCACATGTTGCCCCGGTTGATGCATTCCAAATGTATAAATTTCCATCTGCACTTAATGATGCCAGAAGATAGTCTGCACTTAGGTGATCTGTTGTACTCTTCACTTCACCTACCCCCACCGTAAGTTTCTGTTCATTTTCCCTATTACACGTAGTCGTTGAGGACTCAGATAATAATGCAGCATGGACATCTGCTTGACACACCAGACTCTGTTTTGCCACACGATCCATTCCATCCACATCGACACTTTCTTCAGATGATGGTGTTCCGCACACTAAACGTACCAGGCTGTCCTCAGAAGATTTCCTCCCTGAAGGTTGTTCTTCGTGATCAGTTTCACTGCCACATGAAGATGAATCACAGCGTATATTTGAGTTTTTGCAATCTTCAAGAGAAACTATATGTTCTGGTGAGAGTTCTGGTTTTTCATCTCTTAAGGCATTTATTTCCTCCTTTAGGCTTTGACACGCTTCAGCGAAATCAAACTCTGCCGCAGTCCCCGACGTGTCCTGTGTTTTTTCAATACCAACAAATTCTGATATGGAATCGGACTTTGTCTTGGGCTCTTGAGGAGTGGCTCCAAACTCATTATCTAAATAATCGTAGTCATATATATCAAAAATGTCATCAGCATCGACAATAGTAGTATCGGTTCTTGTTAATTTTGCAAATTTGGACAACGGCCTCTCCGGCTTAGCCTCGTCCTCAATTTGAACTGCATCCGATGGCAAAACCCTATTCCATGCTAAAGACGCAATGGCACTATTATGACCACGTAAGGTATATAGTGTGACCATTTTTTGCAAATCACAGAGTAACACCAAACCACGACTTGTGCCCACAGCAAAATGATTTTCATGGTATGGAGAACATTTCATGGATGTGAGTTGATGATGACGAGGCGATATAAACATCGGTCTCCTGCAGAAGCTATTCGAAGCAACACAGTACACCACTATATCCTTGCTGTCCATAGACAACACATTTCGATTAATCATATAACTGACAAATACTTCTCCAGCATATTGAGGCGAGGGACCATTGCCTTCCATATAGCGCATACATGCCAAATGAGCTTGGTGACCCTGTAGAGCATAGCCTTTGTTGAAATCCCATATCTGTACAGAGTTGTCTTGAAATAAAACCACAAAAAATTTCGATGCAGGCTCATTAGTCTCACCACCCTGTTCAGTTTCGCCCCAATGATGATCTATATCGATCATTTGAATATTTTGCCGGGTATGGAACACTTTTATTTGGGGCGTATCTTGCTCATCTTTGATGGAACTTATGTAGTTAATGCTGCGGGAACCTACATAGAGAAATCCCCCATCGGGAGTACAAACACAACCATTTTTGATATTCCATTGCGGCACCAACGGAATTTTAATTTTCATTTTGGCATATAATGAATTCGTCTATATATTATATTTTCTGGAATAACGAAAAACGTGCTTGCGAATTTTGTCCTGTTAAGTCCTGTTCAGACAACGAAGCGGAACGACTTTTTCCGGCGGCGGCGGCTTATCAGTGTAAGCCGATGGACGACGGCGAACTTTGCTTTGTACTCTACACCTTTTAACAAACAGAGGATGAAGGAAGAAACAACACGGCGAATATGTAGAAAGTGGAAGAGACAACATGCCGCAACAGCTGTTTGTTTACTGAGTAAACGAATTGCCGTGATAGAAGAATACAGGTAGACGCATCGACACAGCTGATGGGACAATGAACTGTCAAACTAATTTTGAAATTGAAAATTTTAAATGAAAAATTATTGAAATTTGTAAACATTTTTGAATATGTATATTACAACAACATCTGATTGACGTCTTGTAAGAAAACATATAAAAATCTACTTATTGCTAGGAACACAATTGGAGCGAACGACGAATTTTTTCGCGGCGTATGTTCGTCGTCAAAAATAAAACACATATGTGTATATGGAAGTGCACACAATCACGGCACCGGCGAAAATTTCGTCGGTCGCCGCGAACTCAATTAGCTTTATTTCTATTTCATACGCCGGCGACCGGCGAACAAAACAGTACAAGGTGGCCATACTTGTACGAATTTTATGTGTTTTAGTAAATAAAGTTACTTTTTACTTTAAAATTTGTTATGGTCACTCTACTATCTGTTACTCGTATAAAAAAAACATAATTAATTTGTTTATTTATTTGTGTACTTGCGCCTGAGTGAAGATGGATATCAGTGAATTTATAATAGAGAAGATGGACATAAGTGAAATTATAATAGAGAACGTAAAGAATTATGTGTTCTTGTATAATTCATTGTAGTCAACAAATGAGCAAAAAGTAAACAACTTCATCAGCTGTTTTATAATTTCGTCGGTATTGTGTTCCATACGACGAATTTTCGCGGCTCATTTTGTCGCCGCGTAGGGCGAAATTCGTTGTTGTTGTTGTAGCAGTAGTACATGTGTGTGTTTGTGTTCTGCTAATCTGGTTCCAGCTCCAGGTTTAGAAATTCGGCTACTTTAACGGGCTGTAGCCAGAGATCCTCTGGAGTGAGTTGGGTAGGTTTGGCTGAGCAATTAAAAAGGTGTAGCGTATTGTGCGGGCCTGTATCACACGCCGGGCAGGCGTCACGCACATCTTCATCAATTCGTGCCCAATACGAATTGAGGCGACTACACCATCCTGAACGTAATTGCGCCAAAACTACCCTGGTTTGTCTAGGCAGCTGACGTTCTTCGGCTGCAATGGATGGGGGGTGGACTCCGAGGACGGCATTCACTTTATAACTGCTAATAGCATCCGCGACTGCATCGGTGTGAATGCCACTCAGACCTGCCTGATAGGCTTCTTGATCTAGAGGCTCTCTCTTGTAGCGCTGGACCTCCCTCTCTAGATCATGTATGTCCTTCCTGACACGCCTGGGTGGGGGAGAGTTATCCACCATATGATGGTTGGGATGGCTCTCACGGTAACACCCAAGCAGGTACTGCAACGAAAGCATATGATTATGCTGACGTAAGGGAAGGACTTTCGCCTCCTCATGTAGATGGTCCACTGGTGTCATGAGGAGGCACCCTGTCGCAGTTCTCAGGGCAGCGTTCTGGCAGGTCTGGATATTCTTCCACTGCGTAGCACTAGTATTCGCAGACCACACTGGAGCCGCATAGTTGACCACAGACCGACCTATCGCGTTATAAGAGGTCAACAAGGTTTCTTTGTCCGCACCCCAAGAGCTGCCGGCTAGCGCCTTGAGGACCTTGTTCCTACTTTTCATCTTGTCGCAGATAGCTGTGGCTTGCGCGGACGACTTGAACATGCTGTCGAACGTTACCCCAAGAATCTTGGGGTAGTTCGTGGTCGGTATTAAATTCCCCTCGACCTGAACATTCAGCTGTGTTCTCATCTCCGCAGACCATGTGGTAAAGAGTGTGGCCGTTGATTTCGTGGCGGATATTTTCATATTCCTCGCGTGGAAGTATGCGGCAAGCTCCGCGAGATAGGGGTTCAACCTTTCGCATATGTCATCGACCACTGGACCCGACGCCATGATCGTACAATCATCCGCATACGTTACGATCTCAATGCCGTCTGGAGGGCGAGGAATTCCGGAAAGGTAGAGGTTAAACAGTTCCGGAGATATCACCCCACCTTGGGGAACTCCCTGTTTCACTCTACGGGCTTTGGACTTCTTGTTCCGGAATTCCACGTACGACTGGCGTCCACACATATAGTTGATTATCCAACGTTTCAAACTTGGCCGGAGGGTAGTTCTCTGTACGTCCTCAAACAGTGTGGCATGATTGACCGTATCAAATGCCTTTGATAGGTCAAGGGCTACCAACACTGTTCTGTCACACGGCCTGTTCTGGTTTAGTCCTCTACTAATATGTGTGGAAATGGCGTGTAATGCTGTTGTGGTACTATGTTGTGGACGGAATCCGTGCTGGTGGTTAGCAACTGCATAGCTTCCTCTAATGCTGGGGAGGAGTAAAGCCTCAAGAGTCTTTGCTACTGGCGACAAGAGCGAAATCGGCCTGTACGATTCGCCTTTACTGGCATCCTTGCCTGGCTTCAGTAGCGGGACCACCCGGCCCATTTTCCAGGTTTCGGGCACTATGTGGGTGGCTAGCGACAAATTGAGAACTTTCGTTAAGTACTCGACTCCCGGCGTATCCAGCTGCTTCAACATTACCATTGAGATTCCGTCCGGGCCCAACGCTTTGGATGACTTAGCGTTACGGATGACATTTGCAACATCACCCATCGTAAACTGTGGTGGTTCCTCCTCGGCGGGAAGAGATCTGATACGACGTAGTACTCTTCGCTTCGCCCTATCACTCTCGGGGTGCTCGACAAATTGTCGGTTAAAATATTCCGCGCACCTCTTCGGATCAGTCACCGTTACGTCGTTAAAAGTGACTGAGGTCCTATCATCCTTTTTTCCAGGGTTCGAGAGCGACTTAACCGTTACCCACAGCTTACTCATATCGGTTCCAATGTTGCAGCACTTCAGATGGTCTAGCCACTTTTTCCTCTTTTGCTCCTGTACCAACCGGTTGACTTCCACTGTCAAATCACTGATTCTAGGATCAGTAGGGTTGGTACGACGGAGATCATCACGCTCGTTTGCTAATCCCGCTGCCTCTGCTGGGAAGTTTGGTCTTATCTCGGGTATTCGACCAGCAGGTATATAGCGAGCGGCTGCAGCTCTGATGATGTTTCGGAAAATCCTTTCTGCTACCCGAACATCAGAAGGGTTGGGCAGTTCTCTGAAGCGGCGGTTGGTGAATTCTCTGAACTCTGGCCAGTGAGCTTTCCCATGGTTAAGGAAAGTGCGGCGTTCAGAGGTTATGAAATCGGGCGACCTGCTTATGGAGACGATTATCGGGAGATGGTCTGAGCCAAGAGAAATGACGGGTTGCCAAGTCACGTCATTTATCAGACCGGGTGACACTATGGTTAAGTCTGGCGAACTGTGACACTCTCCTCTTATTCGGGTGGGGGCATCCTCGTTAACCGTGCAGAATGTGGAGCAGTCAATCTGCTCTGCCAGCGCTGATCCCCTCTGGTCATTACCTAGGACGGAATGCCACAACTCATGGTGGGCATTAAAATCCCCTAGTACCAGGCGGTTATTGCCTACCAATAATGGGCTAATATCAGGCAAATAACGTGGTTCACAGCTATTAATCGGCGGGATATACACATTAAGCACCTCTACCTCGGCAGTTCCACACTTGACTGCTACCCCCATACATTCCATGTATGGGTCACTAGAGACTAGCTCAAGCGAGATAGGTCTGTACTGAACAGAATGGTGTAACAGGAACGCTAATCCCCCACCTCCACTTCTGGTGCGATCCTTCCTTAGTACGTTGTAACCATAACAACGTTGTAGGCTGCAATTTTCATTCAGCTTGGTTTCCTGCACCGCTGCGATCTTAATATTCCTCCGACTCATAAATTCCACTATCTCATCTATTTTGCCTCGAAGTCCGTTGCAATTGAATTGCAAGAATGATGCACAATCCGGAGTTGGAACAGCAACATGTGGCGTTAGGTGCTGCGGTGTTGGTTGCTGTTCTGGAGACTGCGGTGGAGTGCCATACTCCGACGACGTCTCTGACGAGGACGACGAAGAAGAGGACTCGCTGGGGACTACGTTACTGCAGCAAGTCGCAACATAATCCCTTTCGCTGTAGTCTCGCAAACGCCTTAATCCGGAACAGTTCTTGAAGTGCACCCACTCTCTGCATCCATTACATCGCACCGAGACAGATCTGTGGTGGATGACGTTCTGACAAACCGAGCAGAACCAAGGTCCGGGGTTTTCCTCAATCCCGGCACGGACCAATAAAATCCGGAGCAAGCATTCCGGGATATGCTGCTCCCAATGCAGAAAAATAAACAAACACAAACATGTACATACTGGGTTGGCAGCCGCTGGCCGAAACTGGAATCTTGTTGTTTCGGGTCAATCCGGTATCGTAGAACCCGCTGCCGTATAAAAAAAACATAATTAATTTGTTTATTTATTTGTGTACTTGCGCCTGAGTGAAGATGGATATCAGTGAATTTATAATAGAGAAGATGGACATAAGTGAAATTATAATAGAGAACGTAAAGAATTATGTGTTCTTGTATAATTCATTGTAGTCAACAAATGAGCAAAAAGTAAACAACTTCATCAGCTGTTTTATAATTTCGTCGGTATTGTGTTCCATACGACGAATTTTCGCGGCTCATTTTGTCGCCGCGTAGGGCGAAATTCGTCGTTCGCTCCAATTGTGTTCCTAGCATATAGTTGAAGAAACATTTTAAAATTTTTGACATATTAATGTTCCCAAGCGTTGATGCATTTACCAGTATTCTTCTACCATGCGAATTGCGTTGAATGTCAAAGCAGAATGATAAGTAGTCGCATCAGCGCAGCTGTAGACAACATAATAAGTATGTCAAACAATTGATAATTGAGAATAAATAAAGATCAAAATTATGAAAATTATTAATTTTGTAAAAAAAAATATTTAACAGTTTTTTTCAACAGGAGTTTTTAGCGCATTTTTTCTGCAGTTTAAGTAGAATAAGATCATATATTCAACCTAAAAGAAATATTAATAAAAGCTTCATTTTAATGATTTTAATGCTTTCATGTCCTTCCTCTAAATTCAATGAGAATATTTTTCTCCCACGTATAAGTACACGAGGCGTCATATAGAAGTTGAAACTAATGTTACAATAGAAGCGAGCCAGCTGGGTTTTGCTACTACCTTCCGATTATTATGCCATGGAAGTGCTTATAACCATGGAAAATTAAAAAGGCAGAATGTTTTCGAAAAATTACAGAAATACAGTCCTGTGGCTATGTCCGCTTCCTGTCAGAATTATTCAAGTTATATGCTACACATTGTATTCATGTCCTACATATTTTTTCCTAATTTTTAAAATGAGTTTAATAGCTCTGAAAATGAATAAATTTTCTGGATTTTATTTCAAAAGTATGATCCAAACTGTTCAATCTTTCAATTTCTTGGAAAAACTGGTTAATATGCGCTCCGGCAATTTACGACGTTTCTTTTAATCATTTATTTAAAAAATGTTATGTTTATATATACATATATATTTTGTTTTTTTTTTTACAATAATTACATACCCAAAATTGGCAGAAGTCGGGCACACTTAGAAAAAAAATGTAATCAGCTGGTAGCTCTACCTTACGTTTTTATTGTTCCATGCTTGTAACGGCTTTGAGGGAATCGTAAATTTGAATTGTTAAATTTTCTAAGAGAGTACAAATTTGATACCAGTTTGTCTTATTTTTCATAAAACTTCCACCAACGTTTAAGTATTATTATCTCTCTTCTATTTTGTCCACTCAGTTCTAGTTTTTTAAGAATGAAACATTACTTCCTTCTACATCAAGCTCTTTTTTGATTTTGTTTTGGTCATCAACAATTTAAAAAAAAATAATAATGCATAAACATTGATTTGTTGCTATTTGAAATTGGCTTCAACTTGTTAAAATCTTATATCTGATGTTCTCAAATCCATTCAAGTACACAACTCAACCGTCAACCTGAGTCCATCAATATGGACAATTAGTACCAGACTCTCTCTACTCCTCTAAAATACTGCTTTAAAATTGAAATGAGAAAACAATAATTGACGAAGTTAACAAATCAGTTTAGATAAGCCTATTTTATTCGACAATAATAAATACCGTGTATATATAAATATTTCTTAACAATTTTACACTATAAACACTTTATGTAAAATATATATTGTAGTTATAAAGGGTAAATTGAAACCAATGGATGGAAGATATGTTTTCGCATTATTTCTGGAAGCGCAGCATTCGATGGCAAAATCGATCAACTTGGGATAGTAGTCATTCCAAAAATTGATTTTTTGATTTTCAGCCACAGTCCGTACATTGAAGTCCTCATTGATAACCAGATAAGACTGATTATTGATATTGTATGAATTCCATTTTATGTATACATTGGAAGCAGTGGGATTGGAAGTTTTAGCAAAGTTTGCCCACAGAGTCATTACCATTTCGGCGATCTTTTTATCGGTCGCATTCCAGCGATTTATAAACATTTGGTTATTCATATATGGAACACCCCATATGAATATCTGATCAAAATACTTTGGTACACTTATCCAACTGGGAAGCGTATAGAATTCGGTTTTTGGACGAATATTAAAGTAATACACATAGACATCTTCTTCGGTGCTCACCAGATTTGCCAAGAGAAAAAGAGGGGCCAAGTACACTCGATCAGTGTGGAAACTTATAAAGTTGTTCAATACGGTCTCCTGATTGGCCTCCTCTTCATTTTTATACATAAGATTGATGGAATCCAGTACGATGGGATAATCAGTGCACCATAAATCGCTTTGATTGTTCTTTTGAATATCGTTCATTGCAACCTTGGAGGCAAATGTTTCGAAATCTTCTGCAGTCATCTCGGTGCCCTCTCGTTCTTCGTCGTCTAGTATTTGAAGAACGTCCTCCATGTCAGTCATCCCCATCATTATTGGTACTTTGTGGTAATTTCCACTTCTGAAAAGCGCCACTGGAAAGTCGTCTATGAATCCTTTAGATGAATTGCTGAAGCCCTTGTCTATGAGAGGCCCGAATTCCACGTCGGGCAAATTATCCATTAACCTCTTGGCATCAACTCTCTTTAAGCACTGCATTAGCATCGAAGTCGGTTTACGATTACATCCAAAGACATTCGCAATCAAATCCAAATGTGGACTGAAAGCATCAAATGTCCGGACCGTGTCTTCTGTTAGTGGATTTCCCGACATCATGATAACTCTGTGAAAACTGTTTCTAGACCAATCACCCGAAGTAAGATGTAGACCTGCGCTAACGGCCCCAGCTCCTATCCCAATAATGGTAATTTTTTTCGAATCGCCTCCAAAGTGAGCAATGTTTTTGCGTATCCATAAGAGTGCAGCCGATTGATCCATTAGACCAAAATTTCCGGGAGCCTCTGCATCGCCAGACGATAAAAAGCCCATTATGCTCAAACGATAAGACACGGTAATGACAATGACCTTCTGCTTGAAAACCATTTGAAATGGATCAATGTCAGTAGGGCTGCCTGATGAGAAGTCGCCGCCATGAAACCATACCATTACTGCATAACCCGTCAAACCAGGGGACCCTGAAAGAGTTTGTTATTTAAACTTTCCGTGACTAATACGCATTAGAAAACCAAAGAAAAATTAGACGAGACTCAAAATCGAATTGCCGTTATTTGAAAACACGGTAATTTTGAAAATTCTCATTTAAAAATTGATCCTCATAAAGCTCGAATTATCCACTTAAATTTAATAGTGTGTAGGTGCTATTACTAACCATCTGGAATGAATATGTTCAAATATAAACACTCCTCATCGTAGCCATCATGAAAACTCGTTCCGCCCGTTGTCGAAGTCATTAGGAGTTCCTGTATCGTCGATGTTTGTTTATCCGTCGGCCTGGTATCCTTTTGCCTTTGCCAACATTTCGGTCCATAAGATGTCGCGTTGTATATCATATTCCATTTGTTCACCTTAATTTCGGGTGGCGCAAATCTTGGAGCCTTGGCATACTGTATTCCCAAATAGGCCTTGATATTCTGTGTGCGGAACATCTTCATATACATTCCTACAATGGCGCCCTGGTTGGGCAGATGAACCGTGGGTGCTTCCAAGCAACACACGAATGCACACTGACCCAATAACGGGGCAATTATAAAAATCCACTTGGCCGAGACGATGCTCTGCGCCCGAAATATATGGCGATTCGTTGTTGACATTTTCGAACTTAAGCAATAACTAAGGGAATTCTGCAAAAGACTTTTGGTAAAAACATTGCTCCGTTCTCAACTCCTATGAGGGTGAATACGAAATTACTTTTTTTGGTCGTTGTCATGGTGTAATTGCCCGCCGTTGCCAGGATATTGCATTTCGTGACACACAACCACTGAATATTTCGTCTTTATTGGTACGGGGGTGAATATATTACTAGTTCAATTGCAAATTATTACTCCTTCTTCGGTGTCCTTGATTTCTGAAATTTCGGCAATGGCATGTAAGATGTGCAGGCAAGGCTTCTTGTTGAAATGTTGATGACTCAAGCTTCTCTACGCAGAGCGCAGCAACAGTAATGTGTATTTATATTGAAGTTTTGATATAATGTTCTATTCGGCTAAGGATTGGATTGCATGACTGGACTGAGAAATATAAGAAGTAGATTTTTCCAATGGAAATATGAACATAGATTCTGTAGAAAAAATTTACTTCGAAGAAACTGAGAGCAATAGTATATAATTATATCAGGCAAACATAATGAAAGCATTGATCTTCTGAGTTATGGGATTCACGATGGTTCTAGAAGTGTTGCCTGACTATGGACATAAATAGTTCCTAGTCCTGCAATGGGACTTCTTAGCTTTCTTGTGTATTTAATCTGTTAACCATGCATCATTAACTTAATGGAGTAGGAAAGATACACAACTATCGACGAAGCTCCTTTGCAATACAGACGGGGTTTAGCACAGAGGTTTAAATAATTCGTTGAGTTTACATTTTAGGCCCTCTGTCTTGAGTCTTGATTATCATGACCCTTTTGACGAGTAATTATGATAGAGTAGGTAGTAGCAGAGCAATAGTGTAAATGTAACTGTGAAAAAATGTAGGCATAGAGAAACATTATACATCTTATACACCTGAGTAATTTCAGAAAATTAAGAGTGTTTAAGTGAATTTTCTATGTGATGCCGAAGCCGTACTTCCTCCATCCTCTACAAAACCCTAATCTAGTAAAATTGCGTTTGTTCGCAAGGGAACTTCCTTCGAAAAGAATATCTAACTTAAGACATATCATTTTAAAGAAATATTTTTATTGAAAACCATAAATATACATATATTTGCAGGTGAATATATGCTTAAATATTTCTTTTAGTCTTGAAATACTCTCACTTTCCTTGCAGTAGCAGACACTCATATTTTCACTACAATCGCGTTTGAAACGATTTTAAAATGTAAGTGAACCATGATTGTAGTTTTTAACACATATATTACACTTCACAACAAAAGTATCGCAACAAATAATGCCGCAGGCAAAAATGCATATCGAAGTTTTTTATGGGTAAAAAATGATTCCAAAGTGGTTCGCCCATTTTCGAAAAAAGGATTCTGTTATTCACATGCAGATTATTGAAAGTTTTTTCTTTGCAAATATTATTATATTTTGAAATATCTTTTTATATTTTATAAAGCCTGAGAATTTTAAAAAGTAAACAACAATCATTGCATGTTTGCGTATATTTTGTACATTTTTTTGGAATTGAATTGAATTGGCAGAATTTGGAGTCATTTCTATACAGAGTTTACATAGCAGATATTATAAAGATTTTGGACACATATTTCATCCTACTTAATTTTAAATGCTAAATAAAGAGGGTAGCTTTATGACTCATTTAGGTCTGCTTCAAAATATCCGAACCTTTTTTCACTGCCGCTACTAATTAATGATTTCTTTACCTTTACATTGATTTAAAGCAACAATTTAAATCCAGTTCTATGTTGCACAGTGTTAACGTGCATTCACGATGCCAAACGTACTTAAATGTCTGTATTTTATTATTAAATAGATGTTCATGAGCATCAAATAGCAAGTAAACATACCCAGACTATGAATGTATGCAGTGAAAACTTAAACAAAAAAATCCATGCTGCTGTTCTGCTTCGGTTAATTCCATCTTGTTTTGTAGCCGTTCAAATATATGAATTGATTCTTTAATCAGTTTGGTCTTAACGCTAGACATTGCACTTTCATACTAATACGAGAAAATTTGCGAAAATCTGCCAAGAAGGCCTAGCAAAAGATGAGTGGCCCTGCGTTGTTTTTTGCATTTTGTGGTAAAAGAAAATTTCTATACGAAAAAAATATGTCTATACACATCGGACTCTTGATAAAAAATCATAATACCAGGGGAAGTCAATATTTTCAAAGTGTTAATGTTCAGGATTTATCCAAGCCAAAGATATATGTTTAAATTGACGTCAGTACATTAAAAATTATCAAGATTTTCGAAATATGGAAGCAAATTTTTCATTCAAATAAAAGAATAAAAAAAATTTAAATTCCGCTATAAAAACTTATTGTGATTATTATGGGAACGTGAAAATAAATACTGATCAAGACGTATCATTAACAGCTTCTGTTTGTGAAAAGAACCACATTTAAAGAACGGCTTTCTTGTATGTTTCTAAATGCAAGCAGTGCGCTTTTGCCAAAAACTTAGTATTTGGTAATTTTTGTTAAAGAAAAAAGTGAATCCAAGTATGGAATATTAGACTATGGTAGGATTAAGAAGGTATTGCCATTGCACATATACACAAATCAGAGATGGGCGCCTGTTTTTAATAAAGTTAAATGAAGCAAGGTGAAGTTGAAAAATATTGGCGGATTGTCTGTTTCTAATTATTAGTTTAGCCCAACAGTTTGCATTACTGCCTAAGGACTCTTAAATAAGTTGAAGAGCTTTTAAATAAGTGCATGAACACGTTTAACCCCATAGTTATAACATATAACTTTTTACTTTCCTTTTGCTAGTATTCTTTTTATTTGTCGAGATAAATTGCATACAAAATCATCGACCTCATACCGAAACCGTAAGTTTTAAAATCACTTAAGTTTCTATGTAATACACACATACGTATATTGTTTCTAAATAGCAATGGCGACTAAATAATCGACAAGATTTGTACAGCCATCCTCGACTTTTGGTATGGAAGCCAGTATTGCCACAACACCTATATATGAATCCAAAAACACCGATGTTGCCTGGATCAATGCCAATAAACTACAACCGATACGGATTTTCTCATTTACCTGCACAGCTCAAACCTCAAAGTTACATTTTTGCTATGCCAACTCCAAACCAAAAATTACAGCCGTATGGACTTAATGAAATGGCCGAAAAAAGGTAATACAAACGTTTCATAAAGTAATTTCATCAAAAAGTACTTGCAACCATGGCACACCTGGAAAGGTAGTTTAATTTAAAATGAAATGGGAAAAATGCAACTCCTCAAATGTTGTTTTATCCCAAAATTGTAACAATTATTATGACTAATATACATTTTAGTAACTGAATTTGAGTTAATTTTCATAATAATTATCTTTACTATTCAAAACAGTGCAAAAAAACATAGAAATTACAGAGTCAAAATATAAAAACCACGTGGATTTACCTCTGTTAATACGATATATCGTTACAAGTTATTTTACAGTGTAAAGCAATATTAAACACTAAAGTCAAAAAAATTGTTGGAATACATTGTAGAATCGCAATTTTTGTTTTTCAAAAAATTATATGAAGCATTCACTTTATAATTCTGTTTTGGATGTTTACATGTCTCTTTAATGTACAGCGGGGATCTACATATAATTCTTAAACAATTTTTTGTCTGATCACCGGAACTCTCAACGACTGAATGGTCAAGCGATTCACAATTGTATAAAAGTTTATAAAAGCAAAGTCCTGAAATAATTTATTTTCGTAAAATTAAGTTAGAACATATGACAAACAAAGGTATAAACTATGGAATATTCGAGCCGATTTTTGGGAAAACTTTCATGAATTTGATTAAAACTAACCATATGTGGGCTTTTATTCACTAAATTCGAATTCTAAAACAAGCCAAACGGGCGGATAACTTTATTTAAGCATACTCTCTGTGAACATTTCCTCGTCTATACCTTTATCGTTTCAAACTTTTAATGATAATGATTTAACGGAATTTGCATTTCCAATTGATAACAAAAATATGAAAAAAGTGGGTAATAGATTTTTGTAGTCATTTTTTACCGATTAACAATTTGCACACCAACTGTAGAATTTTTAATTTGCATCTAATTACAAATAAATTGAATTCCTCTATGTTAATTAATATTAATTTTATTTATCGTTATTTGATTCATTAACAGAAAACCTGGGAATTTTCACCATATTACCATCATAAATGCTGTAATCCCAAAACCACATTTCCCCCCTCCCACTTCGCCAACAACACAATTCTTTCCAACATACCCTAAGTATCGAAATAACAAGCATCTGTACCACCCATATCTAAATAAATTGACAGGATGGAATAACATCAGCAGGATTCCAATTGTGGCTCAGCAATATCAACCTATTTACGGAAACATGCCAATAGCAAGTAGCAGTACAGCGATCAGTAAGCCCATAATTGATAACTACAACATTGTTAAAGAAAGAGAGCCGAAGTCATATTCATGTTTTGGAAAATCATTACCCAAGGACTCCATACAAATAGCTAGTACTCACTCTTGTGAAACGATTCCTCAAGGACATAACGTTTCTCAGCAAAAAATTATTCCCTTACCTCAACAAACAACAAAAGTCGAGGTATCTACTCCTTCAACCCCACCGAGTTCAAGTTTTAAACCCGATGTAGTCGAGACAACCACACAAAAAATATTCCTACCAACTCCAATAGCACATCATCCCATTAGCAGCACCACCCCTCCAACCATTGTTACTTCAAATTTTATAACATTTGTACCACTACGGCAGAATGAAGCTTCCTCAACCCGAAAGGAGGCATATCATCACCGACAACAGCATAATTTCTTTACCCTCGAAGATGCTATAACAAAGCCTCCATCGATCAATCAAATATTCAATGACCCATGGGAAGCTTTCAAACATGCTCAAAGTCAGCAACAAAACTCCATGAGGTTGCAAAGTAATGCCCACGATACCTTGAAAACGACTAAGCAAAGTTTCATGCACAATTTCTTTGATGACAATTACGATACTTTGGAAACACAACAGATCGATGACTACACAAACTTTGATAAAGGTTATAACGACCCTGATCCCTACTATGTCAACACGAACGAGTATGTTGCGCCAATTCGTAATAGAATAATTGATGAAAACCAAAATAAAGAAAATCTTCTCCATGAAACACATCTTCGCTATAAGCAAGCCAATGGCAACCAATATCAATATATAAGCACATCGCCTCCATATAGATACACTGGAATAAGTAAAAGCAAAACAACAACTTTGATTCCGACCAGTGCGGAAATACCAACTTCTAAACCATACAATTTAATTAAGTATACAACACCACAAAGCTTACTAGATGACACAACTACAACCCGCTTGATTGAAGATCAGACTTCAGATTCCCCATTAACTACCACCAGCATTAGTGACCATTCCAAACTGCCTGTCTATACAACAGTTGCAACATCCACTACTACTAGGGAAAATATTTTTAAAAAGACAAAATTAAAACGTCCGTTTTACCAAGGCCAAAATGCCACACACAAATATCCCAAAACCATTAGAGGCCTATTTAAGCCCAACAAAAACAGTACATCGACTACATCAACCACAGTAAGTCCCTTGCTTGCAACAAAAAAGACCTCGAAATATAATCGTCAATACAAGTCGAAAAAAATAAAGCTTCTGAAGTATACATTAACATCAAGCACATCCACATCGACCACTACACAACCGCCACCGGTATCAACTACATACACACAAACCGTAGAGACTAGTACAACAAGTCATAGGAGAGTGACTTCAATAGCACCTTCGACTGAATCAACAAGACGAGCACATCGTCCGAACAAACAATCTAGAAGTCAAAAGACCACATCACGAAATACGAACAGGGCGCAGGTGACATCAACTGAGAAGACCAATACTGTTTCTGTGAATAGGTCAAGAGGAAAAAACAAACATAGGAGGCGCAACCAAACGGCTGAAAATATAAGAAGCACTGCTTCATATTCTGGGAATTCAATGTCAAAACCAACATCGATCAATTATTCAGAAACGTCTACAACCTCCCGATCCCGATTGAATCACAACGAAACAAGATCAAAGTCTACTAATGTCCCAGTCGCAGACACCATTCCAATTGCAAATGATGCGGACAACGGTTTGTTATCCACAAAAGACGGAAACGTGCCTCCTCTACCAATTGAAATATACTTTAAAAGAAGCCAACATTCCAAGATATAAGTATGTATGTGAATAAACTTATATCAATTGACTTCCAAAATAAAATATAAAATTACAATAATATACGGAATTTGCTTGGTAATTCTAATAAAAAAAATCGTTACTTATTAAGGAAGTCATTCTGCAGCTGTTATGTCTCTTTTGATAGAATGTTCTCTAAAAAGGCTAAATCGCAAAATAGCCAATGTAAAAAGTGTATATCTTCAGTAAAGTAAAGAAAATGGTAGTCCTGATTAAGACTAGGCTAGCTTATTTGCGGCAATTTTTATCGAACTCTTTTGAACTTGCCTCTTGCACTCATACAAAGTAATTTGTTTTAAGAAATACTGTTTTTCCTCATTACAGAGATGGCCTCAATTAAACTTGCGTAGTGTAAATTCGGACTTAGTTTGGCCTTACCTTATAATAATTTGTATAGCGTTTTGTAAAATTCATTCTATTAATATTTTTGGTCAATATTTAAATAACAGTATATACATACTAAAAATATATTTGTACATATGTATTTTAATATATAAATAAATTTACATCTACTTCCAAAAGAATGTCTTAAGGAGAACTAGGAACAGCCGTGTGTATTCGTACGCCATGCATTTCCTTGATCTGATCTTTGAGCGTATTTGTTACAAGTTTATGTTGTTTTAGAGTATTTAAGCCAGCAAACTCTTTTGTTTCGACGAACACTTCAAACATTGCGCCACATCCGCCTGAAACATCCTTCACTTCAATAGTTGCTTTGGGAAATCTGTTTGCTAATGCTTGTTGAATTGTTTTTTCAGCATCTGTGCTGCTATAAAGTCGCACATTTTGAATCTGTAAATCAATTGTATATTCAGTTAAAATAATTTTTCTAAAGTTCATTGCCTTTTGAGATTCAGAAATCTAAATGTGAAATCTATGAGAGGGCTTTATAAAAAAAAATAATATTAGAAATATGTATGTGACAAATAACAACGTTTTGTATGGCAGTGAACTATTTATTAAACAGATTGAAGCAGAGATATGGATTGAAGACTTTGCACAAACCATTCAAGTTTACACATGTACATGGGGCTCATTAGCTATACAGCAATATTGATAGTGAGTCGGACTTTAAATAGTTTATGAATGTATGATTTTTATAGTTGTAACTTTAAAAATGAAACCATTTCAATTTCAGAAATGGAGTTCACTTTTAATATTGTCCAACAAGTTTTTGAAAATGTAATAATGCAGTATATTACAGCGTTACCTAAAATTGGACTATTTGGTCGACGTCTTTTATATAAATGTAACCCAAATACGTCGAGCGTACGAAATTTAAAAGTAAAATTTCTTTCTTTTTTTCTTGTATTGAAGATAGAAGTGTATAATGCAGGAAATGTTTGCATATGCTAGATATGACTATTAGAGGAATTTCAAAAATTATTAATTTAAAAATACAATACAGCTTGAGAATAATCTTATAAAATAGTGTGTCGCAATAATTTTTCAACAACGCTTGCAAAGCACTTATGTTGCACAAATTCTTCTCAAATCGGTCCCTTGCTGACATTTTTTTTATTTTTTGTGAAAATGGTCAGCCAAAAATAAAAATAGTTTTCTTTTGGTAAAAAGTAAATCATGCGAATTTAGATCCATTTCCGGCCCGAATTCTTAAGGTAATGATGAATAATAAATCCGGTAGTTTCTTGTATATATAATGTTAATCTCATTTCAAACGGGAGGTATCAAAATCAAAAAAGTTGTTTTGTTTTTAATGCAGTTAATGGTATAAAGCCTTATAAGAAACTAAAAATTAAGCTCAAAATATATTTTTGCTGAAAAGTTTATAATTTGGAACATAGAGGCAGTATTAAAGTTATTCAAGTTCACACATGCAATGGGCTCTCCGGCTGTACAGCATGATTGGTGGTGAGTGGAAAGGTAAACAATGTACTTGACTCACCTGTGTAAAACGGATAAGGTTGTAAGGCCGAATATGTCCTAACTATTTAAGGGATAAAAAAATAATTAGATAAATGGAAAATGCCCATTAAAACAAATACTTTTACTTACAATTTTCTGAGATATAGAAGCCATTGTTTTTTTTTTAAATTTACGTAAACATGACATAGGGACACAAACGTCGATTTTCATACCATATTGACAGAAACCCCGGTCAAAAGAAATATTAGGTAGAGTACACATACTCATACTGGTACAAATAAATTGCTCTGCAACCATAAAACATGCTCTGTTCCAGAACCTACAATAAAATACTAGCTTTGCAATTGTTTTCTTTTTATATCATAAAGGAAAATATAAATGGAAAGTGCCCATTAAAAAATACTATTACTTACACGTTGCTTTAAGCAACATTTTATGCCACACAGAATGATCACTGTATGCGTTATTTCGTTATTTATTGAAGAATGAAAGAAAAAACCCGTTTATGTTGAGACTAAGGCTATGTTCCGATTAGCGTAAAATATTTATCATTTATAGGCATTTTTGACCTGAAAATGGTGAAATACACAGTTATTGAAAAAATATGTGTTTGCCAGATTACCTAGCTATGATAAAAAATACAAAATAATCCGAACATAGCCCCTAATCTCACGAGTTATTGAATAAAATTACCTGTTTTGTTTAAATGAAAAAATTGTTTTTATTTTATTTATGGTAATTAACTGGGGAGAATATCCCAGACAGACTGGGGAGAATATCCCTGGTAAACATTACCATCGTTCTCCACTAATAAACAAACGTTGTTTATATAAAAACAACAATAAAGGGATATAGCCTGACCATTTTGCAACAACAACAAAAATAATTATCAACAAATATTTTTAAATATTTTTTTAGAACAGTGTTGTTGTAAAATAGTCCCCATTATTGGTGTTTTTATAAAATTAAGAGGTATGTAATTACAAAGACATAAAACTATAAAGACTGGACAAAATGCATATGGGCTTTAATTTTTCTATTAAGTAGTAGATGACAGGCGACATAACAGAAATGCATTGGAAATATCGTGACATAACATATTTTTTCCACTACCTGCGCCATCTATTGAATAAAAGTAACAATGTAATGTCCCATCTTATTATATTATATGTCTTTGTAATTACCACCACGTCATAAAATATGTCCCAAAAGTTCACCTCGACAGTTAAAGGTTAATATAGCTTTGCTTCGTTAGTTTCTCTATGTCGGCCGCCATCACAAAGAAAACACTCGTTCTTTAGTTCCAGCTAAACGTGTGCGCACAATTATGAAAGTTCAATTAGAAAAAATAATTTTATTAGTATTACGAGTGGTGTGACCATGAAACACACCTCAAAACTTGCAATAGTAGAGACCCAACTTCAGGATTCGATAATCGATTCACAGCTCCCTAGCTAGTATTTCACTGTCCAATAATTGTGCCGCCGTTCAAATTGAATAATTGCAGCTCGTTTCTGTGGTGTACGCTATTTAATTTTTTCATAAAGAATATCGGGAATATTTGCAAATTGTTGCTTAGAACGAAAAAGGTTATTTCTACTTGAAATTTACAGACAATTCAAGAAACAAAGGTGAAGTTGCATCGAAAAATTAAGTGTATTTGTTCCGTATGTACCTAAGGAAGAAGAATCAACATTAGGCACCAACACAATCAACGCATACACACATATTATACCCCAGTAAACAATTTTTGCCGAATTCGGTCCGATTTCTGTCAGAATCTCTGAAAAAATGTCCGATTCTGATTCCGAATTCCTTCCGATTTCGGTACGAAAGTTGTATGGACGTGGTCACCGAATTCGGAAAGATTTTCTGAAAAAAATCTGAAAAAATATTAGATTTTCTGGACGAATTCGGTCCGAATTCGGTGAAAATTCTTGAAAAAATAGGAGAAAAAATTAGATTTTCGGAAAAGATTCGGAGGACAACTCCGGGCAGAATTCGTCTGGAAATTCGGCGGAATATTCAGATTTTCTAAAAGAAATCGGTCAGAATTCGAAAGAAAATTCGGAATAAAATTCGAAAGAGAAAGAGGCTGATTCACAACAACAACAAAACGCACATTTTTACAACGGAAAATCTAACAGTTCACAATAACAATAACAAATAGCAATTTTGCTTTGCGCTTTGTTGTTCTTGAGATCTTGAAATGAATGATCACAACAACAACTACTATGGGAGAGAATGTGTCAAACCACCACCATCCGTTTACATGTGGGAGAGAATATGCCAGAGCAATAGACAATCTACTCTCTCCGTTTGTACATTTTTTCGAGTTTTTTTCGCTTAAAAACACAGGAAAATGTGCAGAAATTCTAAAAAAAAAACGTTTACAAAATCGGACCTATTTCTATCAGAAATTTCTGAAAAAAACGTCAGAAATTTCGGAAAAAAATCTAAAATCAGAGCAGTCGGAAAAAATTGTTTACTGGGACAGTATCTATCATACATAACACGTAGAAGATTTGTGTTTTGTTAAAAAAGGTGCTCATATGTTGGATTTAGATTTGTGTATCAATGTCAAAGCTCAAAATAAATTTCTGCAATTAGACTTCTTAGGCTGTGTAAATTCTAATGGTACTCTCTTCTATTTGCAGGAATGAAATGAACTTTTGTTAGTTATGAATCGCAGAGGTATTAACGCAAATACAAATTTAAATTCACAATCAGTCATGGATGATGCCAGTTGGAAAAACGTAAATGTTCCCGAAAACCCTTCTATGATGGGTGGAGGTGGAAATAATCCATCATTGAATCCCGATGGATCAAATCAAGGAGGCTTTGCGCAAGGAAATATGCCTTACGGTGGCTCTAATACACCGTATTCACAGGGAGGACAGAATTCGCCTGCCGGCAACCAACCACTAGTATTTCCAAACACTAACCCAACAGGTTCAAACACACCACAATATACATCATCGCCGGCACCTTCCGGTTCATCGACACCGGGACCTGTTTCGCAACAAAACATGTCTGGTCCCTACCCACAGCCATCGAATTCGGGAAATTTCAATGGGCCTGTAGGTGGGCCGTTTGGCTCCCCTTCCTCTGGAATGGGTCAGTTTAGTCGTCCCGCTAGTTCCGGTACACCTTTTAATAGTCAAGGAGGGCACTTTCCCGGACAGGCTGTATTTAACGTTGGCGGGCAGTTTAACTCAATGCCACCGACTTCCGGCTTTGGTCACGGTGGTGGACATCCAATGATGGGGGGTCCTCAAATGGACCGTATTGATCCGGGATACAGACGACATAACTCATACTTCAGTCACACCGAGCATAGGGTCTTTGAAATGAACAAACGACTACAGCAAAGGACCGAGGAAAGCGACAACTGCTGGTGGGACTCCTTTACAACAGAATTCTTTGAAGACGACGCTAAATTAACTGTACTGTTTTGCCTGGAAGATGGACCCAAACGTTATACTATCGGACGCACATTGATTCCAAGATTTTTCCGAAGCATTTACGAAGGAGGAGTGTCCGATTTATATTTTCAATTAAAACACGCCAAGGAATCTTTCCATAATACATCAATAACACTGGATTGTGATCAGTGTACAGTTATCACACAACATGGTAAACCGTTCTTTACCAAAGTTTGTGCAGATGCTCGTCTCATACTGGAATTTATGTATGACGACTATATGCGGATAAAATCGTGGCACATGACAATCAAGGGTCACAGGGAACTTATTCCTAGATCAGTAATTGGAACATCTTTACCATCGGACCCAATGATTCTAGAGCAAATTACCAAAAATATCACAAGAGCTGGCATAACAAATTCCACTTTGAATTACTTAAGGCTCTGTGTCATTTTGGAGCCAATGCAAGAGCTAATGTCTCGACACAAGGCATATGCACTAAGTCCCCGAGATTGTTTAAAGACGACCCTTTTTCAGAAGTGGCAAAGAATGGTCGCACCCCCTGGGAAAAAAGACCCGCAGAGGCCGGCCAACAAAAGGCGCAAAAGAAAGGGGTCAAACTCGGGCGGGGGCGCAAACGCAAACACGCCACCAGTGAGTAATCAAAAGCGCTCTCCGTCCGGTCACAATTTTTCGCTGTCCTCACAAGATGTCATGGTTGTAGGTGAGCCCACACTAATGGGTGGCGAATTTGGCGAAGAGGATGAACGCCTCATTACACGACTGGAAAATACACAGTATGACGGTTCGAATACAATGGATCACGAAAATCACACTGGTTTCGGACATTCAGATTCACCAATTTCAGGTGCAAATCCCTGGAACATGGATAGGTCAGGTGCAATACCAGCTAGTCCCGGGAGTGGGTCAGTTCAGAACAATACCAATATGGCCGACATAGACAAAAAGAGCCCGATAGTCTCTCAATAAAATATATTCATTTATTTTTCAAAACTAGAGAATAGTGTACATTATACTAAGTTACAATTTTAATTTGATATACATGCGTAATTATTCATTAGAGTTAAATGATATTGAAACAAGTATTTCTCATCGACAGTCCCTGACCGCCCCATACACCCTACCCAATGTATTTATGTAAGGCAGACCCCTTCTCTCCATTATTACTTATTCATATAAAATAAAAGACCAATGGAAAATTCTTTACTTAATGTTTTCAATAACTCGATAGGTTTTGCCTTTATTTCCCGCTAGGATATGTTACATTTTACTAAACAATTTCTTGCCGCGGTTTAAGCTAACACAGCAAGTAAGAAAGTATCAGTCATCTTGCCCACAGATTTATATCAGCCCATTTGTGGGGAAGTGCCAGAAATAGTGGACTTGCCTATACCACCTTAACAATAGATCAGCCTGTAGACGAAGATTGAAGAAAATTGGGAAAGAGTTATGAATTTAAGAACATTGAACATTTGTGGGAGAGATATTGCCGCAACTGACCCGAGTCTGACAAAAATATTTTAGCTTACATCGCTTAAATTGAATCGGATACCGGGACGTAATGTTGGTAAAAAATATGAAGATGGGCAAAGTTTAAGAAAATCAGACATTGATTTAACTATTTTCAAGTGGAAGTTTTTAAAAAACGTGACCTTTTGTGGAATGCAATATTTTCACTCGTAAAAATGTTAGATGCAAACATTCAGATTTTTTTGGCAGTTAAATTATTTTTATCATTTATTCGTTTCAAAAACAAGCCAAGCTGATTATATTAATTATAAAACCTTATTTTCCAATTCCAAACATTTTCTTGTTCAAAATGTAGTGTTGTTTATATTAACTTGGTTAATGCTCTAAATCTATTGAGAACTCAATAGTGAGAAAGCGAAAAGTCATAGACAAATAAATGTCCAACCATTTTCACAGGCCAACAAATGTTTTAAGTAGTCGGTTAGGACACGGTACTACGATAGATTTTAGCGGAACCTATAAGGCCGGATAATTATATGCAAACTCGTCTGAGATTTTGGGTTTTCTGTTTGAAACCCTTTACTAAAAAATAACACGACAATTCACCTATTTGACATTTGCGTAGATCTGGTAGACCTTTGGTAGTCGCCCGAGAGTATATTTCTCTGGTTTCATACTGTTGCCATAGCATCAAATATAGAGCTAATACTATTGACGACATTGTACCCGGCTTTTGAGGCCTTTCCACAGTTAAATTATACATAGAAAAAATAACACGTCCTCACAATGCATTTTTTTTTTTAAATCATAGACATGATTTTATTATATTATTTTTCTCGACACACATTTACACTGCAAACAAGAATGATTGTAGAAGCTTGCAAATAATAAAACTATCAGCAAACATTGCCTTAAGCAGATGGTACCGAAATTTCTCTGCAATGAAGTTTACAACTTCAACTTAGTGCGTCTCCAGTGGCGCCTCTTGGCATTGTATCTAAAAACAAAATACATAAATGTTTAAGTTTGCCCCACTCTTGACATTTAGTTTACATACCTAATGGTATTTCCTGTGCGCAAACGAATCCATTGTGGCACGGAACGATTTTGCTTCAACTTTTTGGCAAGCTTTTGCTTGATTCTGAATGTTTTATGGGCCGCCTAAAATGTGAGACACAAAATTTATTCCCATTAGTTTGCATTTGCACAATCATTGCACTATTTTATTTAATGATTCCAATTATTTTTAAAGATTAATTTACAATTACGCACCATCTCGTCTTCGTAGCTAAGACAAAAAGAGAGAAAAAAGTGTCTGTCAAATTAAAATAACTAATCGATAACAATTCAGATTACTGAATTAATACGAATATCGATATCCAAGATATCGATATTTGTTTAATATCAATTATAGTTTATAAAGTAAGAAGAAGCATTCCGTTTTAATGTCATATGTCACAAGCTAACTATTTCATAAGAAATTTCTTTCTCAAAGCCTAAATATTTACACAAGTCATGGGCTGAGGCAAATTTATTTTTTTGCAAAATAAAAACTTTTATAAAGGAATGAAAAAATAATTAAAAAGCACACATTTCACTGCATTAAAACAATGTATACATATCTGATTTGTGTATTTACAATGAATTTATAAATACATATTTTGACAATGAGATATTGTCAAACTAATTATTTTGAAAAAATTGTTCACATATGTTTGCATGAATTTACTTCCACGATTACATGGTAGAAGAAAGCAGGTAGATGCATCAACGCTTAGGAACATTGATATGTCAACATTTTTAAAACGTTTTGTCAAAAATAAGTAGGTATCTACGTGTTTTCTTATACGACGCAAATGGGAGGTTGTTATAATATGCATTTTTCAAATTTCTATAATTTTATCATTTAACATTTTTAATTCCAAAATGGGTTTGAGAGTTCATTGTCCCAGCAGCTGTGTCAATGCGACTACTAGTATTATTCTACCAGGCATGGTTAGAATTCTTTGTAGGGTTAACCTACTTTAGGAGGCTTTATATGAAGTACTAGTATATGATAAATTTAATCCAATTCCAATGGGTTAACCCATTTATATGCAAGTAACCCAGAACTGCAAGTATGTAAAAGTTGTTACTACAATAACCCATTCTGCCTTTATGATATCGAAGAAAATCTCAAAAATAGTAGATTCTTGCAGGTACTGGAACAGAGCATATACTGTGTGTTCCAGAACCTGCAAATTAGTACAAATTAAATAAAAAAATCAGCTATCGTAGTAAAAATGTTTGGTTATTGTAAGTTCTTGAACAGAGTATATGTATTTCAAAACCTACAAATTAAAACTCTTTTATACCCTCTAACATACTATGGAGGGTATATTAACTTTGTCATTCCGTTTGTAACTCCTAGAAATACTCATGTCAGATCCAACAAAGTATACATATTCTTGATCAGCGTAAAATTCTAAGTCGATTTAGCTATGTCCGTCTGTCTGTCTATCTGTTCTAATCACGCTATCTTTCGATAAAATCTCAAATTTTGGAAAGCACAACATTTGAAAGAATTTAATATGTTCTACTTTAGACCAGGCGAGTTTACATGTGGTATTTTTATCGTTCTCTTTTAAACCGATTTTACCCTTATGTTATCCAAATAAATATTTTGAAATTAGTGGGTTCTTGCAGGTCATGGAACAGACCAATTTTTGATTAAAAATTAAAAAAAAAACAAAGGAAACAATTGTTTCCAATTTTCATTTCCCATACCTTTGCTTAACGTTCTTGCTGAGCTTACGTTTTACGATTCATTCTGTGTAGAAACCATCTCTCTCATCGTTCAGAGCAACCCGCAACGCCGTCGACTATTACAGACAGGCTCTAAAGTCAAGTGTGTGTATCTGCGTTTTTAAGGTGTCAAACTAGGAAAAAGGATCTGACATCTAACATTCCGCAATACATTTATTGATTTTTGCATAAAATTTACGTTTCCTTGAAATGAGTAGTAAAATTGAAGAAGGGCAGGAATACATAAGGCAGGCCGAGAAAAGGTAACTTATGAATAATAATATTTGAACACTCTGTATAAACAAATGTAAATGTTTACGTTGGTCATTTGAAAAAAAGGGTCATGAAAGAACGAGTCAATTAACTATTAAATACACAAGTAGAATTGTTCCCTGACCTTGAACTGGTGGATCTCATTCGCGGCCCGTGGAAAAATTTTCCTACTGACACCTAATAAAATTCGTTGCTTTCCATTTTTCCCACAACGAAGACACTTAGTCATAAAACAAAATCATATCATAGTATATATTTGTGAAAAAATCAATATTTTTATTTACCCCATTGCACTAAGCACAACCGTCTGTCTTTCTGGAGTTGCTGGCAGAGAAAAAAGGGTTGCTGTAAAAAACGGAATTCAATTTTTATTACAAATACTTTACATATTTGTCCTTATTCTACTTAAACACTGGAATATTACAGCAACCATTTTCTATTTATCAAATCAGTCTAAAAACAGGCCTTTTGAAATGGCGACCCGAATACGATACTGCTGCGGACTGCTACACGAAAGCTGCAACCGCATTCCGTATTGCAAAATCGTACGATCAAAGCAAGGAGTGCTTTCTAAAGGCTGCAGATTGTCATAAGAACAATAGCTCTTGGTTCCATGCAGCCAAGTGTTATGAACAAGTAAGTGGAGGAGAGTAGTAGGAGTCCTTTAACCAACTTAACATGCCTCGCATTTATTGCAGATTATATTAATATGTAAAGAAACAAATAACTTGCTTAGCGTCGAGGAATACGCTGGCCGAGCTAGTCACCTATATCAACAACATGGATCTCCAGAGTCGGCTGCATCGGCTTTAGATAAGGCGTCTAAGGTTGTGGAACAAAAACATCCGGAAATAGCATTGCGTTTCTATCAACGAGCACTGGAAATAAGCATGGTTAGTTTTTTGTGATGATAATAGATGGATACTCTGCTTCATTACATGCATTGTGGTCTTTTTTGTTATGACAGATTGAAGATGCGTCACGAACAGCGGCCGAATATGCAAGCAAAGTGTCACGCATATTGGTTAAACTGCAAATGTAAATATTTGATATGTTATAGTTTTGTATGGAATTTTTAGATATAATGTTCTTTTTTATTTGTGTAGGTATGATCAAGCGGCAGACGCTTTAAGGCGAGAAATCGGTCTCAACCAACAAACTGAATCTTATGGACAAATCGGCAGACTTGCCGTAGCACTGGTATTAGTTCAATTGGCCAGGGGAGATCAAGTAGCGGCCGAGAAAGCTTTCAAGGAATGGGGAAACTGTTGCGACCCTCAAGAAGTACAAACATTAGAAATGTTGTTACAGGCTTATGACGATGAAGATCCCGACACGGCTAAACAGGCCTTAGCTTCTCCATTTATAAGGCATATGGATGTAGAATATTCCAAGTTGGCGTTAATCGTTCCCTTACCCCAGGGGTTACCGAATGCTTCCAAACCTGCTGTTATAAAAAATGCTACAGCTTCCTATACGTCACCAAACATGGATGTAAGTATTGAAAAAATCTCAGACGACATGATTGTGATGAAATATTTATGATCCTACAGGCATCGAAGGGCGGAAATAATGAAGGCGAAGCAGGTCCTGCCGGTGCCGGGGCGGGAAACGACGAAGACGACGAAGAAGGTGGACTTTGTTAATCTCTAATTTTGTTTATTTAAGGCTTAAATGTTACAATGCTAGTTATTACATGACATTGATGTATAATTAATAATGCTATTTAAATATTTCATTCCAAATATAGTCAAAATACCGTTACAAAGTTTTTAGTTGTTTTTGAAAATGCTTATCCTTTACTCGATGTTTTGCAACAATTGTTACAAATTATTACTAAAAATTACAATGTTTAACAACGGGCCTGTTCCAGAGATCCGAAAATATAAATAACCCATTTTCCTTTTATAATACCGAAAAATGGCAAAACTAGTGGATTCTTGCAGGCTCTGGAAGGGATCAAACGTTTGATTTGTTTGAGAAGGTAAAGGAAAATAAACATTTTTAAAAACTCATTTGAAATTCTGCTTCTCTTTCGCATTCTTTCTTATTTTCATCGTCATACAGAATAAAGGCCTTTATTCATTAAAAAACAGTAAAGACTTATAAATCAATTTTTTTTGTATATATAAAATTTACTAATGCTAAATCAAATCGAAAAGAATCTAACGATCCTTTCGAATATCTCTCGACAAAACGTCCTACATAAAAAGTTTCCCACTTTTTCACACAAGTTCGGTTCGCATTTGGTAAGTTACTGGGCAAAATAGTTTACAGGGTACGCATTTGGTAAGGTACCGGCCAAAATAGTTTACTGGGTACGAGGTTTATCCAGCGAACCAAACTATCCATGTTATTATTATTATTGTTTTTCTTATTGGCATGACAAACAAAACATGTGCATAAAGGCCAGTAAGCCCATCTGTAGTGTGATTCTGTAACTAGTTAACGACAATTATCGCAAACAAAATTTTTTAATTCGATAATTCAAGAAAAAAAATCTAACGATCCTTTCGAATATCTCTCGACAAAACGTCCTACACAAAAAGTTTCCCACTTTTTCACACAAGTTCGGTTCGCATTTGGTAAGTTACTGGGCAAAATAGTTTACAGGGTACGCATTTGGTAAGGTACCGGCCAAAATAGTTTACTGGGTACGAGGTTTATCCAGCGAACCAAACTATCCATGTTATTATTATTATTGTTTTTCTTATTGGCATGACAAACAAAACATGTGCATAAAGGCCAGTAAGCCCATCTGTAGTGTGATTCTGTAACTAGTTAACGACAATTATCGCAAACAAAATTTTTTAATTCGATAATTAACGAACTTTGCGGTAAGTAAGCGACGAAATAAAAGTAGTCGCTAAGGTTTGGTATCAACGTTTTTAGTAAAATTTGATGCACTCGGTGAGGTTTTTAGCACACAGGTAAACACTGCAAATTTCAGATCATTGCGCTCAAATTTTGTTGCAGCAAATATTTATTTCTCACGATCACAGTGAATAAGCCGGTTCCAGAAAATCGATAATTCGACTATAACTTCCAGACCACTTGTTGCATAGGTATTTCCATAAGCATTCAATCGATACCCATATTGTCTATATCGGGTAATTGGATCCGGGTCTAGTCGGGGTCTTGAACCCAGACTTTCGGGACAAAAATCTGGGGTCCCAGGTCCGTCCCCCCCAAGAAAAAAATAGTTTCCCGGGATCAGGGTAAAAATACCTACCACTGGAAAAAATTTAAGTTTTTACTAAACTAGAGTTAAGCCCACTCGCTGTTACCTATGTTGTTTTATCATGGGATTAAAAAATATCCAATTATTTCGTGAAAGTGGCAACATCATTCATTTATAATGAATAAGAAGAAGAAATATGTTTAGATAACAATGCCAGATAGTTATTGAACCCCATTCTCCTCAATTTGTAAATAATATATTTAATTTTCAATAGCAAAACAACGTTAAATCCAAAGAAATAAATTCACATGTATCGTTTCTTTAAGTCGGTTAGTATTTTTCATGATAACTTTTCAATGCATTTATTACGAACGTATGTTTGTCTGAAAAGGTGCTTTTTGGTATTCCAATTGGGGTAACATTTTTGGACTGCGTTGGATATGTGGCCAGGGTCGATGGTACGTAAAAAATGAAATGGTTTCCCCTAAAAACGTGCCTAAAATAAGATGTTCTTTAAGGTATTTCTATGCAGCCGGCTTTAAATCCAGATTCATCTCAGACTGATTATGTATTCTTATCAAGATGGGCTGTGCGGAGCAATAATATACAAAGAGGACACATCGTTTGTCTAATTTCACCTAAAGATCCAAGCCAGAAAATTATTAAACGGGTTGTAGGTCTGCAAGGCGATGTGGTCGCTACTTTGGGCTATAAACAGGAAATTGTACGTGTCCCAGAGGGTCACTGTTGGGTAGAAGGGGATCACACTGGTCATTCTTTAGATTCCAATACGTTTGGTCCCATTGCAATCGGTTTGCCAAATTTTAATATGTATATAAATGGATTATATAATATTGATTGTTTTATTACAGGCCTAATGACGGCGAGGGCTGCGTTCATAGTTTGGCCACCAGAAAGGTGGCAAAGTTTGCCAAGTGAATTGCCGCGAAAAAGAATACCCATTCAAATAGCCAAGTCCACGAATTACCAACAAGCTTGATGAAGAAACTACGTTGAATACATTTTTTTCACACTTGTGAAATGGTTTATGTCTTACACTTCTAGCATTATTTAGACTAACTTATTGTACAATAAATATATGTTTATATCAACATTATCCTATAGAATCCAGTGACTTCAATCCGTGTTGGTTCAAGGCATCGAGAGTAAATTTTAGAGCAACGCCTTCACGAACTATTTTATAAAGCCCTGGTGTAGACAAATCTACAACAGTTGAGGCAGATCTTCTTTCTTCAGAGGTACCTATTTGACCACAATCAAATATTCCCCCTAATGAAGGCCACAAACTCTCAAACTCGTTAATATTTAAACTACTCTTCTCAGAAGATCTGTTTGCACTAGTTAACGCCAGTGGTTGCTCATTATAGATGTTACAAAGGTCTTGAATAAATTTAAAGTTTGGAATGCGTATCCCAATCTTGCTTGTGCTGGGATTAAGGAAAGGATTACTCAAATGTTTGGAACGCTCTATGACGATGGTTATGGGCCCAGGCAATAACTTTTCCAACAAAGAATCACTTAAATGTTCCGCTCGTCCATACTTCCTTAAATCACCCAAGTCCCTGACGCATATAGCAACTGGCTTGTGAAAATCACGTCCTTTTATCGTGTAAAGCTTCTTTATAGCAATCTCGTTATTTGCATCGCACGCTAGGCCATAAACTGTATCTGTAGGCAGAGCAATAACGTGTCCACTTTTAATATAGTGGGCAGCAATATCGGAAGCGTTTTTATCATTTGAATAATGAATCGGTGGATTACTAGGGGACTGCATAATTTCTGATGTTGGTTTAAATGTTGCAAAGCGATATACGCCAAAGGGCCTAAAACTTCTTATTAAAATTGACATTAATTGTTGCAAGACAGCTTATGGTAATACAAAATAAAGTAATAGCGATCTAATCTCTCCAGTTATGACCACACAATTGATTAGCGCATTTGTAAAATGTTGTCATAGGTTCATCAGCAGAGCGTGTCTGCATTTGCATGAAGTAAGCTTTCTTGTGTGAACAAGTCGGACATTCGGCGTCAGTGGAATCTACGTTCTCCCATGCAGCAGCGCCGCCCATAACATGATCAACTTCCTAGAAAATATGCAGCATATGTATATTTACGTTTATAGTGAATTTTATTTAACGTTACCTTTAAACGGGGATATGTTTTGGTCGAGGATTTCTTCTTTATGTTAAATATATATGGACACGTATTGCACGAGAAACGATGGCCTGTAGTGCCCTGTTCCACCATTAAAATGTTACTACACTGAGGACAAAATAACAACATTATTCATTACTTGGGAATTTCAAAATTTTGTTCAGAAATTCACATTCACCGTTTGAGAGTACGCTTCTCGTTTAACATATGAATTTAGTACAAGTACTAACACGTTTTCATATCAGCTGTTATTGATAGAGATTGCCGTATTTGACATTAATTGAAAGACATAAATCAGAGCTATCTGCGTTAAGTAACAATTCTATGGTTGGTTAACATCCATGGTACAATTACAGAATGTAGCTGCTCTCTAAACACAATTTTTTTCCTTTTGTGCCCTTACTCTGTCAAAACATATACACATGTATGTGTGTGCATTGTTTTGAATAAAAAATATAATAATTTGAAATTATTTCAGATTTGGTTGCAAAATAAATGCCTATTTTCGATTTGTATTGTCCTACTATTTTAGATTTAATCCGCCCTCGTTCGCGGTTTTTCCGCAATATAAAAATTTTGTTAAAAACTTAAAAATAAACAATACCAACTGTTGGATATTTAAAGGTATGTTTGACACTAAAAGACTCCAGCACAGAGTTGCATTTTTTAGTTTCTTTGAAGTTGAGCAACCTTTCTTATTGATTTAAGGTTACTAAAAAAGACGGGGTTATCGCTGCGTTCATTCTTTTAAGAGGATTACCATGGCAAAATTAACAAGGTACAGCGCTAACGGCAACCCTTATATATTTTGGAACTTCATCTGTAATTTACAAATAATTTTAAAATCAATTCCAAACTACTATCTACAAAATGTGTCACATTTTAAATAAAATGAAAAAATAAAAAAGACATGGAACAATGCCCGCAATATGTGTGTGTTGACATATATACACTAAAAACTAATTATGACAGTTTATCTGTGAAACTAAAATGATAATTATAAGTATTTAACAATTGTTCACGACATCGTTCATTTTCGTTAAAATTTGTATTTATAGTGTAAAGATGTGGTATGCGAAAATTGTGCGAAAATAGAAGAAAAGATATCATTAGTAAATTCCAGCCGGGTAACCGTGGAGCAAACTATAAAACAGCTGATCGAAATTACACATGACAAGAATTATGTTCTGTTTCAGAACTGCACGAATATTTAAGTTTTTACTACGACATCCGATTTTCTTTTATGATATCGAAAAAATGTAGATACTTTAAAACTAGTAGATACTTCTTCAGGTTCTGAACATAGTATTAGTCTACTACAATTCTACCATGGTAAAAGAATATAGGTAGATGCATCAGCGCTTGGGATGGTATGTCAAATTTTTTTAAAATGTTTTATCAAAAATAAGCAGATTTTTAAATGTTTCCTTATATGACGCAAATCAGAGGTTGTTATAATATGCATTTTTCAACAATTTCAATAATTTTTCATTCAACATTTTCAATTCCAAAATCACTTTGACAGCAGCTGTGTCGATGCGACTACCTGTATTCTTCTACCATGAATTCTACATACAATTGTCAAAATATATATAACTTTTAACTCTCGTTTACTGCACTTTTGGGTAAAAAGTCAACATCCAGTAAAATTTTGTTACAATTGATTCTTTAAGTGGACTTTGCGATTTTTGTCACTACAACAAGTCGATTAATCGATCAATACAAAGTAGACTTATGTGCCCCTAATTGGGACAAAACCAATCGCAACCATTTTGGTAAGAGCCCAATTTCTTCTTCTTCTTCCAGAGGAAGTCGACTTGGAAATCCCTGTCCTGTACTTCTTTCTTTCGTGGAAAAAGCGTCGCGTCGAGCAGCGTGACTTTATAAAATTTGCAAATTCTTTTGATTCTACCGGTTTTTGTTTCTATGTAAGTAATTCAATAATGTTTGCAGGCTTTTTTTTCATAATTATTAAATAGCTTTTCCAATAAAAGTTGACATGTTAACTCGGGGAATAGTTCTGAAACAGTCGACTACACGTGGTTTTTGCAAAAATCGTTTCGTCAAAAGCACACATTTTCATTTAATAAGGCCTAATTGATGGCGAGCGCTTAAAAATAATATCAATTAGTATTTTGGTGCTGGTAATGTAGAAAAATTGTCTGTCTTGTCTCTTGTGGTTCCATTGAAGATACTTTCATTTACATTTTCCCTTTTCAATTACGTTAGGAAATACGCAGTTTTAATATTCGTAATTTTTGCACGTACTATATGTATAATTTATTCGACATGCACACACACAAATGTATGAGAATGTATATGTTTTGCGTTTTTACTCTTAGAAATCAGAAAGGAATACAGCATGGATGCCAAAAAAGATAAAGAAGATGCATTGATGAGCGACGATGACGCCCAAAAGGACAACGAGGATGCTGGATCATCTATGAGCGAGAATGAAGATAAAAAAGAGCTTTCCGCAAATCAAATGGTGGTGTAAGTAAATGAAAAACAAAATTCATCGTCTTGTGGCGGTATTTTAAAGTTGCCGGCTTAAAACCGGTTCTTGGGAAAGCATACACAATATTCACAACACAAACACTTATTTTTTCTTCAAGGCCTGCTTATTTGAATGCTTTTTTGCGCCGGCAATTTCTTCAAGAAATGGTCAAGAGTCTGCCAGAAAAGATGCAAGATCGTATTACTGTGCTGAAAAATATCCAATTGGAGCACTTCAAATTGGAAGCCCAGTTCTTTGATGAGGTTTACCAGCTTGAGAAAAAGTACCATGAAAAGTATCAAGTTCTGTTTGAGAAACGCCGAGCCATTGTTACTGGTGAAGTCGACCCACCAAAGGAAGAACCAAAATGGAAAGTGGAGCCGGAAGAAGAAAACCATGAAGATATGCCCGAGTTCGCCAAGTTGTTGGAAAAAGTTAAAGATATACCCGCTAACACAAAAGGTATTCCCAACTTTTGGTTAACTATTTTCCGCAATACGGAAATTTTGTCGGAAATGGTACAGGAACACGACGAGCCTGTATTGCAGAAACTTAGGGACATTACTATAAAATACGACGACGAACATTCATACACTTTGGAATTCCACTTCGATAAGAATGAGTATTTCACTAACGAAGTGTTGACCAAACAATATTTCCTAAAGTCGGCCCTAGACGAAGACTTTCCATTTGGTTTCGAGGGTCCCGAGATCTATAAATGTAAGGGATGTACCATTAACTGGGAAAAGAAAATGAATTTGACAGTCAGAACTATTAGAAAGAAGCAGAGACATAAGCAACGTGCTGAACTTAGAACCATTGTTAAGGTGGTGCCCAATGACTCATTCTTCAATTTCTTTAACCCACCGGAAGTAGCTGATGACAAAGAAGAAATTGATGATGATACACAAGGCGTAAGTATTATTCGGCTACAAACGATCTGCTCTTATGTTATACATCCATGTTTTTTTTAGATCTTAGCAACTGATTTCGAAATCGGTCATTTCTTGCGTGCAAGAATCATTCCTAAAGCCGTTTTGTATTACACCGGAGATGTTATCGACGACGAAGACGAAGATGATGACTCCTTAGATGGGGAAGAAGAGGAGGAGGACGAAGAGTCTGACGACGAAAAAGAGAAACCCCGTGGCGGAGGTGGCGGCCATAAGAAGAAACCAAATGTAAATGAATGTCAAAATCAATGAATTAATTGAGCAGCTCCTCACAAATAACAACACAATCCGATCAGATGTTAATATGAAAATGAAATAAAATTTCATTTTGTTTTTCTAATACTGTAGTTTTCTAAAAACAGTGATCAAAAATCTTTGCAAACTTGATGATAATGGAACGACTTTTTTAATTATGAATTTATAACACATTACAAAAATAAATACTGGGAACGGTCCATCCCATCTATTACTGCTGAAACATTTTCAATTTATATTTGTTTACAACTTGGATTCCCAGCAAACTCCCGAAGGCTGAAACCCCATTAAAATGTAGTAGTTCGGAACGTCGGACACGCACACAAGTCCGACTACAAAACCGGGGGTTGTGTGAGTTCGAGACTCGTCTTCTGCTAACGAAGAATAAAAAGTATGAGTTGCTGATGTAGATATTAGACTTTTAACAACACTATGTTTGCACTAATGGCACAGTGTGTTTTGTGTTAAAGTACAACAAATCATAAGGTTCAATACCAGAAGCGGACAAAAAGTGAAGTCAAAAATAAGCAAATATTTTTTCTACTCATTTGTTGACTTTTAGTGCATTATCTACTATCATTGTTAAACAATAGCAAAAAATTATATTAAAATTTCAAAAGAACTCCGGCTGACTGCCAAAGATGTATGTAAAGTATATAATTCGGAATGCTGTCCTTGTGCAGTATGGAGGCAAATATTCTTTGATTTACAAATCTACCATTTGTCGAGAATATTGTATCAAAGTGCACCTAAGGGGCTTAGACACTATCTGCACCCCGACATTATTTAGGTGCGTATTGAAAATCAGCCTATGTCTTATAGTACGCAGGGAGAGTCAGTTTCATAGTTTGACTTACAGCTTCAAGTGGCTTATCGAATGATTCAATGTATGTAACTTATTTCTAGTCAAAGATGCCTAAAGCTAATTTGGTTTTAAACTTTTTTCCAACGGAGGTAACATTTCCTACAAAAATTTAAAATTAAATGCAGAACAAACAAAAAAACACCGGATACGATCCTTCCGATTAAATGGATGGTGATAGATACATGTTCATAGTCCTAATTATATACTGATTTAAAGAAACACATTGTTTAGCGAAAATGAAAGGTTTCTTATTAAATGATTTGCGACTAAAAAAATTATCATAGATATATTTGCTTATATCTTAATTTTTAAAATAATTATAGAAATTCTTAATATGGGAGTTGATTAAATTGTGTCATTTTGGATGAGTAGGAAATTCATCCATCTACTTGTTCTCCTGTGTTTGCAATCTTTCTAGATTTGAACAACGTTGTATTGCAGCTGGTGATAAATACTTCATGTGACCTTGATACAAGATATCGGAAATTATCTTCTCGGCGTAAAGTGCTTGGGTTGGATCCATAGTGCGCAATTTGTATGCAACAATTTCACCGAAACTGGTGTGATGATCGACGGTATTCTTTTGAAAGCTTTTGCACGCTAAGGACAATAGGTTTTCCAAATCAAATGTGACATCATTTTTTGCTGTTTTAATGGGGGTGGTATCGGTTGTTTCATTACTATGCTGCGAGGAGAACGAAGAAGATCTCTTCCGTGCTTTGCTTGAATCCCTCTGCTGCTGTTGTTGTTTTTGTGGAGAAGACATTGTGGGGGTGTTGATAGTCGGAGTGGCATTTGTGTTGTTAACGGTTGATGTACCAATTACAAAAACCTGTTCTTTCCTGACTGGTGTAATGGTAGTTACCTCTTCAATTTCAGCTTTGTCAGATACCACGGAAATGTTTTGTGCCGTCTCTTCAATATTTGTGTCCTCCTCACCTTCGTTGCCATTGTTTTCCTTATTAATTTCCTTGCATATGTCGGAAAAAATATTGCTAGGCACCTGCAAAGGATCCTCGACATCTACACTTGCACTGGCACCACTATTCGATGTTGATGTTTTGTCAGTGTCTGCTACTTCAATTGAACCGATTGATTCAGCATCTGCATGCAGTCGTGCTAATTTGTTTTTACCATTATTTCCACTGTTATTGATTGTAGGGGTGGGTTCACAAATGCTGTCCTGTTTGCTACGTTTGTCTATGGTTGTTTCCTCGTCTTTGAGGAACATTAGCGACTCGAAGTATTTCCTTTTCGGGCAATAAGGCTCCTCCTTTTCTCCTTTGCTTTTGAGTTCATTATATTTCTTTAGCTGGTGTCGAAAGGCGCAGCGAAGATTATTTATTTTTTGCTTGGTTCTCTCTACATTGTAATGCTCGCCATGTTTTGCTGCTACGTCAATTAACTTCATATAGGCCTCCTGGCGCTTGCTTCGATTTTTATAATTAACCGAATCCGCCTTCCAGAGGCATGGATTATTCCGATATTCTTGAATAAAATCGTCAATAAAATCCATATTTTTATTATTTATAGTGTTTTTTTGTTTTCTGTTGGTCAGACAAGGAATCGATGTCAATTTCGACGGTATCGATACTTTATTTAAAGGGGATATCGATTGAGTTTCTTTTATCATTATTATCGGACGAAATGTCTGTACTTATCGTGGAATAATAAAAAAGGGAAGGCAGATGGATAAGATGTGAAAAATACAACTCTGAAGCTGGTTTTATATATAAAGAGAAAATCGCGAAAAATTAATGAAACTTCACGGATTTATATTTTTCACAATATGGAGTTCTTAAATGATTCGGAGTTTTTCATCCCAAAAGCTGTAAAAAACTTTCAAAATTATTTTTTATTTTACTCTAAACAATAAATACAATATCTGTGTATGTTTTAACATTGCAAGGCTATCATATGTAAATATTGAACTAATTCTTAATTCCAAAATTACCCAGAAAAAATCTGGTAATTAGTCTGTTCCAGAACTGCAAGAATGTTAAACCTTTTACTATGATAACAGATTTTCCCTTTATGATATCGAAAAATGTTGTAAAACTAGGAGTAGATTCTTGCAGTTTCCGGAAAAGAGCAACTTATTCGTATCAGTGGCTGTGCCATAAATAAAAATTCAACTCTAGAATGCTATTTTTATGTAGTTACTGGTGCCAGACTTTACAAGTCAAAATGTTTCTAACGAAATTTAATGAATTCATCGAAATTTTAAAAAAATAATCAATCTTTACTGTCGGTTTTTCTGATCTGGCCAAATTTCTATTAGCTTTATATGACTCTTTTGCCATTCGAGAACAACTCCCGGGATCCTGGAATTTCTAATATCGTTAACATTTGTGAATTTTTTTTTTTAAATATTTTCAACAATGGGCAAAGTCGTGGATGACTGTTTGTACGCATAATATTTTTTACACGTGTAGTGCAGAATTTCCATATGTAAAAGTTAAACGTATCGTGTGAAACATGGCCGCCATGAGTAAAGTTCATATGAACATTTCAATCACAATTTTAATGAAAAATATGACTTAATCAAAAGTTGTCTTTGTTTGTTGTGTAAAAATATATACAATTAAATTTGCGGTAAAAATTAATTTATAAAGCATAAAAATATAATAATATAAAAAAATGTAATTAAAAAACATTAAACATTGCAGTATGTGATAACAAAAATTATGAGTCATGTTAAAAAATTTGATTTCTCTAGTGTGCTCTGTTCCAGAACCTGCTAAAATCGACTATTTTTGCAATTTTCCAATATTATAAAGGGAAAATCGGGTGTCGCAGCACAAACTTTTGCATTCTCGCAGTTCTGATACAGACCGATAATAAATGGTACTTTTTTCCTTTATAATATCGAAGAAAATTGCAAAACTAGTAGATTCTTATAGGTACTTGAACAGACCAAAAATTGAGAGCCCATTGTTAGAACATTCCGTCTGATAGAGCACTAACATGGATCGCAAGCATGCATCTATCGATGTTTTGTTATCGACATTCATTTGACATATTTGCTTTATAGAATGACCACTTTTCCTAGTGGCAACACCAACATTGTATTTTTGCAGAGAGTTAATCTACAAAACCATCTGAAATAAGAAATTAAGTTAAAATGTCGTTTTATGTAAATAGTGGGAGGCTATTAGCAAGAGTAATATAGGACAGCAACGCACCCACGACACAATTTTCATCACCCTACATTTTATTTTATTCTAGCAAATTCTAAATACACGCCGGCATAATGCGCTGATGGTAAATCAATACAGGACTAAGACCTCGACTCCAATCAACACCATCATTATGTTCGTTCCACAACAGGAGGTAAGTTTTCGTTTCATCTCATTCCCAGTTTTTAGAGTTCGCCTAAAAACGACTTGACGTTTTCTGAGCCATTGCTTAAAACAATGGGGGATGGGTCGGAATATTATACACATTATATTCGAGCTTTTATTAGATAACTCTGATAATAAAATTATTTCAGGCATGGATTGTGGAACGTATGGGTCGGTTTCATCGCATTCTAGAGCCGGGGTTAAATGTCCTACTACCAATCGTAGACAAAATAAAATATGTACAAAGTCTGAAAGAAATTGCTATTGATGTTCCAAAACAAAGTGCCATCACTTCCGACAATGTTACTCTCAGCATTGATGGTGTATTGTATTTACGAATTATTGACCCGTATCGAGGTAAGTTGATATTTGAAAATTTGTTTAAACAAATCGTAAATTCATTCATATTACATAAACTTAATTTTTAATTTGTTTGGGCTAGGACATTTCGTACATAGTAGTTCCGAATATATGTGTCTGGGATAATAGTGCAATTCATTTTAGGCATTTGCGTCTGGTCATTATTCTCCAATATTAGTGATTGTGCATTTATTCATTTAAATTATTGGTGTATATGTCCCTATCACTTATCAGTTTGCGCCAGGAATTTGTATTTTTATTGAATGCGTTATACATGGTAAACATTTTTCTAAATGTGTGAAAACCCTTAGATCAAATGACATTCTAATTGCAAAAACAATAAATTAAGTGGTTAAGGATGTAATTGAAAGTTACCTTACATTTATTTAATCAACTCCATCTTATTTTAAATGTTTCTTTTTCCCATAGCTTCGTACGGCGTTGAAGATCCAGAGTTTGCCATTACTCAATTGGCTCAAACAACTATGCGCTCAGAGTTGGGTAAAATGTCTCTGGATAAAGTCTTTCGAGAAAGAGAGTCGCTCAATGTTAGCATCGTTGATTCGATAAACAAAGCTAGTGAAGCTTGGGGTATAGCATGTTTGCGCTACGAAATTCGGGATATAAGAGTAAGTATCCTCTCTATGTACGGTTTTCTAATATTTATAACCCTTTTTCTCTGTCCAGCTTCCTTCAAGAGTACATGAAGCTATGCAAATGCAAGTTGAAGCGGAACGCAGAAAGCGTGCTGCTATTTTGGAATCTGAGGGCAGACGAGAAGCAGAAATAAATATTGCCGAGGGTAAACGCCAGTCGCGGATATTGGCTTCAGGTAACTAAAAGGCTAAATCGAATGGAACTATGTTTTAACGTCTTTCTTGTTTGAGAATAGAGGCCGACCGCCAGGAGCAAATAAACAAAGCTAGTGGTGAGGCAGCGGCTATGCTGGCTGTAGCTGATGCAAGAGCCCGTGGTCTTCTGACGTTGTCGAAAGCATTGCATGATATGGTATTGAAACCACATTTTTATAACACCACAGATAATGTAATTTTACTCTTCTTTTAGAACGGAAAGAACGCCGCTTCATTAACCTTAGCTGAACAATACATTTCCGCCTTTAAGCATTTAGCCAAAACCAATAATACATTAATTCTTCCTGCCAACACGGGGGATATTTCGTCATTTGTTGCCCAAGCATTGAGTGTATATAAAAATGTGTCCACACACAACTTGGAGTCGCAGGTTCCCAACAACAACAATGAATTTGGACTGAATACGTCAAGTGTAATGAATGAAGATGATGACACCTCCGACTTGAAAGAACGAAAGAAGCTTCAAGCTGCAAACGTATCAAAAATAGATATTGAATAACAAGAAAAATAAAAAAATAAAACTGTTATACAAATTGTGTAGAATACCTTTGTTGTAATCTCATAATGGATAAAGGTTAACATTACTGAATGCAAATACATGGTGTTAAAAGAGCAATGATATTTTTGGTCGTATATGATAAAAAAAAACCCTACATTTGCATTGCCAGTGATGCGATATCTTATTATCTTAAAATCATGCACGTTTGATGAGCAACACATTTATAATAGCATTTTCAAAAACTTAATATGAAATGCCTGAGGCCCACCGGTATTCGCCGCGGTCTACTTTTATTCGTTGGCTCAGCTCTAGGGCTGCCGTACAATCTAATATAGAACAAGCTATTACCGTTATTTACATTATGATAAAACTTGTAGTTGGCAATGCGATCTTTTGATGATAGTTGGCAAGAACTTACTTATTTAGGGGTTGAATGCAATAAATGGCAATTCTCTGAAGGGTACAATTGATTCATTCAATCCAGAGAGTATCTAGAGCAAATATACATGAAATCGAAAAAGTTGGCAGAAAATTACAAATAATTAAATCGAAAAGTGGCAAAGTACAATGTTGGGTGAATAAAATATCACAAAAAAAAAGAGAGGCGAACATACATTGTTTAAAAACAACATAAACTTAATTATTTTTTTGGTTTTTACATTGGGACTGATGTAATATTGTGAGTCGTCGACCTTACAAGAAAATTGAAATCGATTTTTCACTTTTTTTTCTTTCTTCCTAAAGATGTTCTTTTCGAATTTTGATTTAGATCTGCATTATGTCACAGAAATCCTGCATTGAGCTGAATGAGATACGTAAGTTAGACGAGATTCTACGCCAATGTGAAATTTACGTATCGAAAAATAAGCAAACTCCTTTGGTGGATACACGCAAGAAAAAATTCCAAATCCTTAGCTCGTCGAAGCTGCAGAAATTTGTGGAGCGTGAACTCTTCTCGATGATGTGCACAGCCAACAGGATGAACAAAAAGAGTGTATTTGTTTCGGACATTCTTATGAATTCCAATCTTTTCTCATACAAGGACGAGAACGGCAAGTACTTTTTACGTAACACCTGCCAAAAGAACCCCAACAACTTTCACATGTACCACAAGATATTGCGAAACAACATCGATGACGGCGAAGAGGAGTTCATGTACCGCAAGTGTGCCAAGAACGAGCTTTCTCAGAATTGTTTGGAAAACATAAAAAACTGCCTGCATGAAAATTTGAAGCAGGGCAAAAAATATGGTTCAAATGCCTACGAGGCCATACAACACAAACGCAAACAGCAGCAACAACAATTGTACAAACAACAGCAATCGGCGAAGACGGTGGGGACCCACCCACAGCACCACACACCCTTAGAAAACTGCACGTTAAAGCCGATCCATAAAATGGATGCAAATGGGGCGGGCGTTTCGTGCGACAAATGTGAGAAACAACGTCACAAAGCTGTACTAATACAGACACAAGCCGGACTAAGCGGTATGGATAACACCAGCGAGAAGAGTAAGAAACCGAAATCCGAAGGCTATAGTGGACATTACGAGCAAGGAGGTGGTGGTGTAGGTGCCGGTATTGGCGGCGGCGGTGGTTACTCGAAATCGACTGTGCAAAGCAGTTGCCAAACAACACCGGACGAAAAACGAAAGAATGCCAACAGCAATAGTAACAAATACAAATTTTCTTCGCAAATATTTGGAAGAAAGCTATCATCGAAGCATGTCAGCGAACATGGCGAAGATACAATGGACAAGGAAGCATTGTTGAGTCCAAAAATGGAAATTAAATTTCCAGATCCCGTTGAAACGGTATGTAAAAGTGGAATATGTATGTATGTGTGCTGTGTATCTGTGGAAAGTTTGGCGTAAAGAAAACTACGTTTTGAAGGAGAGAAAGGGCTCAATGTGAGCTTTTCTTCGGCCATCTCCACCTTAAGTAACTTTCCTCTGTGGCAAACTTTCTACGTGTAAACAATTTTTCTGTCTTATTCTCAAATTTGTTTCTCTTTCGAGAAGCCTTCTGTGTGTGACATTTCTGTAAACAATGTATTTCTTCTTCCAGGTTTTGTCATTGGGTGCCAATGTCCTGCCCGAACAGAAAAATATGGGAGCGAAAACCCATCGTTGGACCATACTTCACTACTCACCGTTCAAGGCTGTCTGGGACTGGGTCATTTTGATATTGGTGATGTACACGGCTATATTTACCCCATATGTTGCTGCATTTTTGTTGGGTGAACAAGATTATCAGAGACGTACCAATAAGTATATAAACAGTGATCCTATAGTTATTGTGGATCTTATAGGTAATTGGAAAACACCTAGATGACATATACAGAAAAACGAAAAGGGCGAATATGAAAATAATATTGAACAGTGATCAGGAAATATGATCTTTTTCTAGCTATTCCTATCTCTATCTTTATCTGTGTACTCTGTTATCTTCCATGACAACCTTTTTGTACATATGTATGTCGATGTCAGTGGGGGAGGGCGGCAAGGGTGTAAATCAGAGCTAATACATACTGGGGGGCAGGACAATTTAACATAGTTCAATGGCAAATTTATGGATTCGTAAAACTGATTTCTTAATTCCATTTAATTTTCGGAAAGTTCCAAGTCACTCGCTGAAAGTATTCCGTAAAGCCAAGTGAGTTTGTTTTCACAAGAGAATCCCTTCTTTCCCAAAACTCTCTTTTCTTTTGGAATCAAATTGGACCAAATTAAAAGGATTTTGAATTACAAAAATTAAAAAAACCAATTAACTGGATTCACATTAAAAAAGTGTATGCGCTTCAATTTACAAACGGTTTCCCCTCAAAAAGACGGCATAGTCGCTGATAGAAAAGAAAAGCGTAATAGGCGCATATCGTTTGTAGTGGATAAAATATATTTCTATGTGTATTTTCGCCACAACTGAAGGTGGCTGAACCTTAAGGGCAAGTCGAATATTTTTCTTGTATATGTTGATTAACCCTACTTGTTGCATTGATGGGTTGTCTTGATAAATAGATTGCATCGCTAGACTCGTGGGGAAAAAGTTTATCGTGCTAGACTCCCAATTTCAAACACACAAAATGTTGAACTTTTTTCTGCCAAACATCGGGTCTATTGAATGTTAGGACAGATCAAGTTTTTCTGATCCTTGAAATCCATACATATACTTTATGGGGTCTCTGATACCTATTTCAAAACTATAAAATATCCAATGTTTTTAATTGTCAAAATAAAGTGCACGGCCCATTGGATATCTTGCCAGTGGGCTGGTATTTCTTTTGACAATTAAAAGTGACATGTACACATGTGCAGAGACAATGTAAGCCGACCCAGGTAAGATGGACTGTAAAATAAGCCAAGAAGCACCACATGTAACCTGTTTTCGTTTCGACCTTTCATTGATTACTCCAGAGCAATCATAATAGCGCATACACATACATTCATATTCTGTAAAATATGTAAATACTCATGACTCCTCGACACCATCCACCCACCCACAAACACATCTTCATCATCAGTTCGTTTCATTAAAATCGAAATCATCTTGATTTCCAGTGCAGTTCAGTTTTCTTTCCTCTTTTCTTCCTGCGACTAGTTCATGTTCAATAAATAGCTAGATTAAAGAAGTGTGCACCTCTTTGCCATTCGAGGTCCGTTTTGGTTTAGAAACACCAACTGAAACGGGCCGTGCATTTATCCAGGGCTGATAAATAAGTTTTTTTTTTTTCTACAAAAATTTTAACTCTCAATTCCTGTTCTTTCTATGCTTTTCTCTTTCATTCCTCTTTACATGTTTGTACATTCCTTCATTTTTGCAGTTGATGTAACATTTATCGTCGATATCTTAATCAACTTTCGCACCACATTCGTCAATGGGCAAGATGAGGTGGTGTCCCACCCCGGTCGCATAGCAGTCCACTATCTGAGTGGCTGGTTCCTAATAGACCTGGTGGCAGCCATTCCCTTCGATTTACTCCTGGTGGGCAGTGATACGGACGAGGTAAGTCAAAGCCAATAGCTCGCCATTTAGTATTTTAGTTAAATGTGTACAAATAAGCGCATAGTATTTTTTGTTTAATATTTATTATTAAATACTAGATTGTATTTTGATTTGAATTTGTTTGAATCTCTTAGTTCATCCTTAGCTACAAAAAAAACAAATTTTACAAAAGAAAAGCAATTGAAGAGAAAATTGAAATCATCTAGCTTCGCTTTCTTATTTGACGAATCAAAAGAAAATAAATGGCGGCAGAATTTGCAAAGAACTAATTCATTAAAAAAAACATGAAAATATTGCGAGGATTTTCAGACATTTGCTGCGTTTTGAGAAAAGAAGACTGTTGGGAGGTGTGCTGAATACCAACTGAAGGGTGTACACATTAAAGTAAATATTTGAATAGAAAACCTAAATACATGGCTTAATATCGCCGTCTTTTCTATAGAGAATCCTTTTTTGTTTTTTGTGTAAAAGCATTTTAGTTTTATTGTCTTATGTGGATGGTTCTTTGTTTTTGGAGAAATATTTCTTTGGGGATTTTTTTTGAATTTAGAGGAGCCACCCTTCAGTTGTATCAAAACCACCTACCACCAGCAACTGTAATACATAAATGGGCATTTTGTTTATTTCTTATTTTTTTGTGAAGGAATAAAACACATGTTTAAGTTACTTGGTCCGATTGTAAAAACAAAACAGAGTATAAAAAATTAAAAAAAAAAAACAAGGAAAATCGGACACTGTCAAGCCTACGTAAGTCAAAAAAAAAAAAACGAAAATACAATACGAGTGTTATGTAATATTTTTATATTTTTGAAACCTACATAGGTACATATATATAAAAAAATATTGGCTTTAAACGACTATAAACCTTTTCATGACGTTTCCGAGTAATGAGATTAACTGTTGTGCAACATTAATTGGACCAACTTGCATTTATGAAAAAATGAAAACATTCTGAATACATTAGTCAGTCACAGTGTCCAATCATGGATTTTCATTTCAACTTTTTTTTTGTGTTCGTCTAATTCTTTTTCGTTTTGTTTCTA